CTCTGTCTGTGGTGTCCATGAGCGACGTGACTTCATTATTTTCGCGGTCAATACAAAAACGATTTCGATTGATTCGATGATGTCGTCAATAGTTTACTTTGTATGCAGTGATTTTACGTACTGAAGTACGTAATTGCTAGGTAATTTAAAATGACCCATAAAGTCTGTATGTATAGCTATGTACTTATCATTTCTGATAAGTGTTATTTATTTAAACTGATAAAAACCTTTGTTTTATTATCAGAATATTTTTTATTACATTTATGACGAGACAAAGGAATCGAAATTTTCGAAATTCCATTTATTCAATCTGGGTTTAAGCAACAAACTTACTGAAATCTTATAAATAAGTATTAAATAATCCAAGGTGTCAAGAAATTTGCCGAACATTATAGAATTCTTACTTCTACCAGTAACCTAGCGGCTAGGTTACCACTAGTACTAAGAACAAAATTGATACAGAAATTTAAGGCTAAAACCGAGGGTTGAAACGCCACTTTTTATTTAATTAAACTCAGTCAAAGTATTCCGTTATAAATAAAACTTACTTTACATAAGCTTTGAAAATCTTTATAAAGTTCGTCAAGTCGTTTTAGGACGTGTATATTTTAGTTCCTGGCACTAAAGAACAGCGCCCGAAAAGCGACTGAAAGAGTCACTAATTGTGTTCTATTTCAGGGATTTACAAATTCGCAATCCTCTCGAAGCATAGAGCATATAAAACGCTGTTATTTGCATTATATTTAAACCAAATAAATATAGTGTAAAATAGGGTAGTGGTTCATGTTTGTGACCTGCAATTACACTCTATTCAAGCGTCGTTCTAATTTTAAATGTTAAATAACGACTTAACCTCACAGAACTTACAATTAGCGTTACTTTCACCTAAAAACAGTTAAATACACCTATTTATAAAACTGTATCTATAATATGCGTTTTATCAAATCCAGCTCGTAGATAAATAATATTAATACATATAAACATATATATACATATAAAGACGTCGTATTTAATACGAATTATTTGCTTTTTCTAATACACCTTAGTAAGGTTAGGTGAGTTCAAAGATACTATAAGATAAGAGGTGGACGAGAAAAATTGATATTATTTTTAGGTATTCTTATTGCGAGCTAATAAAAGTATATACTTATATTTTACCCATTAAATACTTTGAACAGAAAACGGACGGAACATAAAGGTTTGTAACGCAAACGAAAAAATACTAAATTTAACTCAAAATAGTTGTAAAAATGTGCGTTTTAATGTATAAGTTGATTTTCTTTTGAATATGTTCCTTCATCCGTACAAAACAATAATTTGAACTGAACTGGAAACTGTTAATGATATCTAAATATTAGACATTTATAACGAGCCTAAGCAGACGTCTATTCATAGATGCAGCATTTCAAAGACAATAAATCAAATAAAACAAGTTCCTCTGTTATAAATGGAAGTTGTAAAATCATTACGAACTTACATTTTAATGAATGAATGACATTATCTGATGTCCTGCGCAACGCATGTGTCATACGCTCACACAACACTATATGATTATAACTATATTATATTTCATTACTTCAAGTTTCTTTGAGATAGATATTAAAGATAGATTTCAAGATATTAAAACGCTATAAAAATGCTTTATTACTTTAATATTATTGAGTAACTTAGCACGTAAATAGATTTTAAAAACTCATCATTTCATTAATTCTATACTTCGTAATTCGTTTCATTAATTCATCTTCATTAAAACATTATTCTAATCAACTCCAAACTCGAATTGTAAAGGTTATGTTACTGGTTCCATTCTTTATTATGTAATTTTAATATATAAAAAATCTGGATAACTAATCCCATTATTAATAATAAATAATAACATTTTTAAATTTGTTATGACATTAACCTACCTATTAGACTAATAAGTTAACAATAATAATACTTAACAAAAAAACTATGACTAATTAAATATGCGTAACTAAATGTCATTTGATAATTTAGAAACTAACAACGCTCTACAAAACTTAATTTGAGTAATGAAGCGTGGTAATTTGTATTCCTATTACTGCATTATGTATTTACGTAATTTGTTCTTATGAGTGGACCGCATAGACTATAACGAGTTACCGAAAATTACTGAGTATAATTCTCCATTTGTCTCTCTCGGGACCGCATTTCAGAACATATTTAAATTTCCATCTGTACATCAGTGTAGATGTGTAGATGACGTTGACAGGTCATGATGAAACGTCAAAGTTAAACGACCACATCTGATTTGACTTATTTGTAAACTACAAGTTCGTGAAGGCCAAGAAAGGGGAAAAAAAACTAGAAGTCATTTCTTTATTGTTAAATGTTAGATTAAAAAATATACTGCAATACATTTTCCCATAATTCACGGAAAATAAAAGAAAATATGTATAACCGCAGCTTCCCGAGTCTCGTGGGATTTTGTCGACCACTACGGCTAGCCCGAGGCTCGTATGTCAACCGCATCTACGTAATAACAGCCCTATCTGGAACACACTACACGCATCCTTACTAATCCGGTTAAGAAGCCATAATGACGTATTAAACAATTAAAACACTTTCGATGAGGCGGTAAAGAGAACAACATTTTATTTTTAGAATTATCTGCGCACAACTTATTTATGCCAAGCGATCGTTAAGAATCTTTTTAATCTTCTTAGGAAATAAAAGCCCTTTATGTATAGTTATTGTAGACATGCGTAATTTGATTAAGCTTTTCTAAAATGAATACACAAAGAGAACGAAATAACCAAGAGACTTAGTCTAAACTCAATATAAAGAGATAAGGTAAGGTAAAGAAATATAAGAAAATATCATAATGATGTACAGCCACAAATATACATTCCTAGATATCCTTGATATTTTTTCACATTCTATTTTATTCCATATCATTATGTATTCGATGCCAGTAAGCGAAGCGTCGTATATTTTATTAGTTTTGCTATTACGCTTCATAGCAGATGTCGTTGTCTGCAGAGAACTCGTTGTAAGAATAATTAATTTCATACAATGTTCTTATGCATCGTAATTTGTTCGTTATTCTTTTATTTCCTAAAAAAATAAATAAAAAAATGGAAGGCAACGAATTATTTAAGGAAAATCACATATCTAATTTTGTCCTTAGTAGGCAACTGTTAAGAAATAAAAAAATACCAGGCGGTTTGATATAAATTTTGTTTCACATTAAAAGAAACATAAAAAGATCTTTAAACCTTTTTATCAGTAAGAGAAAACATCTCTTTAACAGCGATATTCCTTAAATCTTAACGTTGTATGAATCTTTAAACGTATGATTTTCTCTATATCATAACATGCTTTTAATTATACATTAAACACAAGCTCAAAAGGAACTGAACGTTCAATAACCATTCGTTTATTTAACCAAGTAATTTGTGCCACCAGATCCTTCGATAAATTACATGTTCGCGGTCGTCGGTATTTGTAGGCGACTTACCTAAGTACTGGCAGTGTTAAGCTAAATTATAATCAGCTCGTTGACGCCCACTCTCTCGTTAGTTTTAACCGAGCACAAGGCTAAAAAGAATCGTGCATGTTACACAACTCATTATATAAATGACGGCATTTAACATTAGGGACATTGAAACACTTACAGCATTCATCGTGATTATGGCCTCTCTGGACCTAGAGCAAATAATTTCCTCTGTGTTTTACCCTGGCGTACACTCAACACAAAAACATTAATTTTGATTTTGTTACCCCATAGTTTACTCGAAACATACAAATCGCATTAGTAAACGTTAAGCATCGAATAACAATAATCTGTGCTATAACTATAACTAATGTGCCATTTGCAAAAAAAACACAGATTGAAAACTCAAAATATACTTGTATAGTTTGAGTCAAAACGCATTTCTCTATAGTGGCAATCAGCCCTGCACTTATATAATTTTGGTTACAACATCTGTGCGCTATAGTCCGAACGCACGCCTTCTGTTACGGTTGTTTCCCTACCCTTTCTATTCATAACAAACATTTTAAATTATATTATTGCATTAGGGAACATGTGACCTTTACCGCGCACATTATTATCATTTACTCTATGTATGATTCAGTACATAAATATTGCGCGGAACGGCGTCATTAAGTCTGACCCGACGTATTGATTATATACACGTTTATGAATACAAAGAATATTATATGACTTCATAATCAAGACATATAGGGCCTCTAATCACGCTTAATTTCATAACGTTACTGCTAACGATGAAGAGTAATATCACAAAGCAGTAGCAGGTAGAAATTCACATTAAATTGAAAAAAGCGAGCATAGGTTCTCACGATTACAAGAATAGATGTAAAAAACTCGAATGCGAATCCTGACTGACGTGCACGGATGCATATTGCGTGCCTCATATGGTCAGATGGTAGGTACAACGAAGTTTATTTCACATGGTAATAATGTACGCATTATTATATTCGTAATTAAAATAAGATCTGCTTCTTTCGGATGACGTAAATGAAAAAATATTCCTTTAATTATCAAAGTTTTTACTAAGAGTTATAATTACTCTTCGCATTAACAAAGAGTTATTGCTATTATCATGTAATAGGTGTATTTGTGTTCGCGTTCAGCTAATGATAAATACTTATCACAAGCCCACCTACTTGATATATTCCGATAAATATTACATTTTAGTGCGAAAAGCACCTTGCACGGTGTTTTATGATAAAATATATGGAAAAGTGGAAATGCATTTTCAGAATTATAATATCAATTCCTTCGTTCCCTGCTTAGTATAATTCTAAAAACTGCATAATGTATGTGAGTTTCGATCGAATGAGGCGTAATACATTCAACGAAGGATAACCCTATCCAGCAAACATCAGAGGCAGTCTTTGAATTATTTATAAGACAATTTCATGATTAAACCTTCAGACATTTAAAAGGGTGATACATTTGTTACAGACTGTTCAAAAGGATGGAGCCAATAAGAGCTTCTTACTAAACCAAAATGGCCGTCGCTCGCGCGGTCTTGGTTCTTCTAGCGTCCACAGCACAAGCATGGATGCCCGATGCAAATGCCCGAATCCATGTCAAATATGGTAAGTTGTATCTATTAATTGAAGGAGTTTGATAGATTGAAATTCACATATTACGAAATATTGAATATTTTAAAACACACCTATATTAAGCGAAGAAGCTTATTACGAAAATATAATCTGAACGTGGATTCAAAATAAAGAGACAGAAGGTAGAAACCAGTACGATAAGTTCCGCAGTATTTAAATGTTTATAAAGTTATCATGATGACCTACATTATACATGAGTTGAACCGATTTCTTAAGCCATAAACTAACTTTAGCGCGCCTCGCTTACCCAAATTCTGCAATACGCACTTATTACTTATGTAGATTAATCATTCTATTATTGCGTAGGATAAACATATTAACTAGAATGTCTCTGATTGACACGTGAGAACTACACCCAATTGTTATGAAATCGAAATCTTTCATTGTTATTTTAACGCCATACAATGGATGTATTGTTACTGCCGAGACGTGGATAAGTGGGGTTTTTAACCTATATAAAGTTATCAACTCGATATACTGAACTTATAAGAGCTTTAATAAGAGACCCTACGAACGTGTATTATAATTTTAAAGCCATTTTATTTAAGCAACATTTTGTGTGGTTTATTGCGTTCAACATAGTTTAAACATACATGCCAGATACTTTTAATAACCTGATATATCAAATGATTTGACATTCACAAAAACTATAAAACATGTAATAAAAACTTTTAATTTAAAAATTTATTGTTGTTGAATAAAAACTACACACTATTACCAAATCTGTGATATTGCAATTTGCAACAGTATTGGCACGTTTTATTTGGATATGAACTTCCAGAGCAGTTAACTGGGAGGGTAATAAACTATGCGTGCCAAATCAATGAGGCGTAATATTGGCAACCCTAAGCGAAACATGCAATACTGTAACTGAATCCAAATAATATGGTTAGACTGTTGCAGGCCAACTGCACACACATGGTCTATTAACTTGTTCATTTACTGAGCAAATAATTCACAAGCCTTTGAATTGTAGGAGTTTCACAATAATTATGAATAACTTTGGACTTATTGGTAGGTGTCATTTGAGGACTTTCTATGTATGTTATTTATTTCTATTGTTAAACACAATATATGGGGGCATAAATAAAAGTTTACGCAATAAAAAACGGTTTTGTATTTTCTAAGTTTACTTTACGGTAGAGTAAAGATTTAGGATGTCTACATTAAAGTTACTATAAAGTAACATCATCCTTAATAAATCGCTTTGTTACAGGCGATGAAACTTCTGAACAGTTTGCGGGTAATACAACTGGACCAAACCACTTCCGCATTTTAGACAGAGATGACTTCTCACTATTGGTAGGAGGAAGGTGAGTTTATAAAATATTATCAAGTAAAATCTAAATTATTGTTTGTTTCAGTACCTACTCCAAAATTTTATAAGCCAAATTATAAAATGCATGCACATTTGGCTTATCGGGAAGTTAAGGAGCGGTTTCCCAATGTTTTCAATATGCCCACGAATATTTCAAATACCAATGTCTATTCAAAGACTAAATATTATTCTTACCGAGCAGCTGCGCGAAACCACTTTTGTGCATCTGTATTGAAATGTTCTCGTTGTTTTTACATAATTGCCTATATCGAATGCCTTTATTGGAATTTCTATTGAGTTGATTTTAAATACACGATATGGTCAAGAATGTTCAATATACATAGACTAATATTTTACTAATTTTGTAGTTAAAATTTTAATATTTCTTTTTCAGGAGTACGGTGTATAATTTAAGCTTATATGATCTCTCTGAAAATATTGATCAGGTATGTAATAAATAATCGTCACAAATTTATATATAAATGCCAGTTAAACAAATAAACAAAAGCATCAGGCTTCAGGGCCTATAGTAGTGACGTATCCAAGTACTATGACATAATATTATTATCATTTACACTTCAAAGGCTCAAAGGCTGACATTAATTTTGCTCAGTTTGCAATCTAGGTGACAAGTAAAGCCGGCACTTAGCTGCTGGTTTATGTCTCTAATCTTGTGCAAATACAAACAGCAACTTTGTGTATCCTGATATCACCGAAGTGTATTCTGTCTCGCAAGTCATAGTGGTGTCTATGTTACATTAAGTTTATTTCCGGTGTACAACAAAACGTGCGTACTAAATATACAAAATCGCTGACTTTTTGATGACATTACTGTCAGCGTATTAATAAATAACACGTTTGTGATATGCTTCACTTGCGATAATTTTAAAATAGAAGTTTTTATTATAATCATCTTTTTATATGTTAATATTTCCTTTCATATTCCAATGGACGTATCTCGACTCTATGATTTTACATTCTTTAGCGTCCCACACGTAGCATAGATCTAAACGCGACGCATTCAATATAATATATTATAATACGGAACGTTAGAGCTGTCCTATAGAGTAAAGAAGCGATATCGCCATGAAGCCTGCGCAATCGGTTGATGGAATAACCGAGTCACGTTATATGAAAATGATTGTTACACTCCATCAAATTGCACAACCGTCGCTATAGTTTAAGGAATTTCGACTTAACGTATCCACGCATGTGAAATTAAACACGTTTGCTATAGATTTGGCATACGTCCATTCTCTTCAGCAGTTTTATTTAAGTACCTGCGTAAATAAAACTCTAAATAAAAAAAGACTTAAACTTGAATTTAGCAGTTACACCTTCCCATTACCACCCTGTCAGTCATTTCATTTGAATATAATTAATGAAATGATTGTATGAAAAACAAATAGAGGTATCTACTTAAAAAAGGTATTTTTTAAGTAATTACCTTGTAGAATAAAACTAAATCTGTCTCAGCTTTCACCGTTCCACTTTACATGCTAAAAAACACTCGCTTCGTGTTAAGCTTTAATAACGAATACAAAACAGGGCCTACGTAATTTAATTCTGTAATCCACGCGAAAATTAGCTTTTTATTTCAACTGACCATATTTTATATTTTTTTGCAGCGACTGGAGTGGCAATCAACAGATGCGCACAGAGAACTATGCCAGTTAAAAGGAAAATCAGCTGATGAGTGCCAGAACTACTTGCGAGTTGCAGCAAGGGCCCAGGGTAGGCTGCTTGTATGTGGGACGAATGCTTTCAAACCCATGTGTCGCAGATACGCGCGGCATCCCCCAAATCATCATTTAGAGGAGTTCGATGGAACTGGCCGCTGTCCATATAGTCCACAGCACAACTCCACTGCCATATTTACAGGTGATAATGACAATTATGATAGATTGACTTTTATTTAGGAAATTAGAAGGACTTTGAGATTCAAATACGACGCACTGAGATTAATTAAATATTTATAAAAAAATTACAGATGGTCAACTGTACACTGCAACGGCAGCAGATTTCTCAGGAACCGATCCATTAATTTATAGAGAACCAGTACGAACCGAACATTCCGATTTACGTTTATTGAATGATCCCTCCTTCGTTGGAGCTGTTGCTTCAACAAGCCATGTCTACTTCTTCTACCGCGAGACAGCCGTAGAATATATGAACTGTGGCAAAGTAAGTTAAAATTCCTAGTGTAAGTATATATATATATTATAAACAATCTAACATCTCTGATATTTTTACAGGCTGTATATTCAAGAGTAGCAAGAGTTTGTATAAACGACAAAGGTGGACCACACACATTTAGCGATCGATGGACCTCATTTCTTAAAACTAGATTGAATTGCTCGATTCCTGGAGAATACCCATTCTACTTTGACGAAATACGTAAGTTAATAATGGCAAATCAAATATGATCACTACACTTTTAGTTAAAAATAGATAAACAATTTTTCTCTTACTTATTTTACAGAGGCTACTACTGAGATTATTAACGGAATCTATGGCAATGGCGGAAATAGAAATGATATCTTGTACGCAGTGTTTACTACACCTCAAAATGCGATAGGAGGCTCAGCTGTGTGTGCATTTGCCATGAGAGATATATTAGACGCATTCGATGGGACATTTAAAGGTCAGGAAAGCATGAACTCAAACTGGCTGTCACTTGAAAAAGAAAAACTACCGCATCCTCAACCTGGATCATGCGTAGAAGATAGTAGAACACTTGCAGATTCGACCGTGAATTTTATCAAAACGCACCCCCTTATGGATAAAGCCGTTCCATCGTTTTTAGCTCGACCGATCCTCATAAGAGTAAGCCTACAGTACAGATTCTCTGCGATTGCCATACATCCCCAAGTGCAATCTATGAACGGAAATAAATTTGATGTTATGTACGTCGGCACGGACGACGGCAGAGTCATTAAAGCTGTGAACGTGGCGTCAAACGAGGGAGTGTTCGATGCAAGTGTAGAGGAATACAGCAAAAACCCAGTTAGGACTGCTGTAATATCCGAAGTGCAAGTTTTACCCCCCGGCGTTCCTATTAGACAAATGCACGTCGCTCTTACGACGGAAAAACTTATCGTCGCATCCGGAGATATTATACGAGCAGTCAGCTTATCACATTGCACGAACGTACAGTCTTGCAGGTAAGAACTTCAACGATCAGTATTTTAATTTTGAATTACAGACCTAATGCAAAAATTTATCTAGTTGACGGTTCCATTTAAATGCATACTTCTCCTACTCTACCTACTCCAATTAAAATTTCCGTCCATTTTTACGTCCTTAAAACAAGGCATAATAAAGCCTTGCTAGTTAAACATATAAAAGTAGGTGAAAATTAATGTTGTTTTTATTTTCAGGGAGTGTGTGGCTTTGCAAGACCCGCACTGTGCATGGGATTCAAAGCAACAGCAGTGTTCATGGGTTGGAAACAGACAATTTCCCAATCCGGAGCGATTTTTACAAAATGTAGAGTACGGAAAGACTGATATATGTAATAAATTGCCAGCTCTTCTGCCAAATGATAGACAAGGTAATCGAAGTCCGGCTACTAAGAAACCGACACAATCCGAATCTAATCTGCGGCACAAACCAGACGACATACAAAATGAAATACTCATAGAGGTCGTCGAAACGAACGTTATGTCCGAAGATAAGAATGTTAATAATAATAAACATGAAACAGGTAATAATAGAATTCAATGATTTTACAGCTATGTTAATATTTCAAGTTTATAAATAAGTAAACCTAGATTAAAAATTAGAATAGCATATAAATTTAACATACTGATTGCGTAAAAACAATTCAAGAATAAAGTTTAATAATAACCGTTATTTTTAATTTCATTTTCAAAAACATCGTTACCTACAAATACAATTAGGTATACCATTAATATATTTAAACCTGTATACATTTAACAGATCTACTAACGGTGGAAGCTGCCGAGGGCAACATTTACAGCGCTCAGGCATTGTTGACGGCTGTCGTTGCGTCTTGTCTGGTCACGCTGATGGTTGGATTTGTCATCGGTTACCTGTTCTCTCGGAGATTTCGCCACCCATTTTTCACTGACACTTCGCCCTTCAATGAGCAACACAATCATTTAAATAGGTAAAAATGCTATAAAAATAAAAAACAAAATATACAAAAAGTTCAGACATATTAATTAAATTTTCAGGACGAAACAAACAATTTTGTTGTAACAAACATGTATCGTATTTTTACAGGTTGAATCCCTTGGAGACTCCTCTGAACGTGAACTCTGGATATATTCCTCCGCGGTCAAAAAACGTGAATATGGTTGCGAACGTGTGTCCACTCGCAAAACAAGACAATCTACACATCGAACTTGGAAAAGACCGAGCACTAGATCTACGAAATTCCACAGAATCCCTTGATAAGGATCTTAAGTGCGGCACCTTACAAAAAGTTAAAAAGACTTATATATGAAATATACCTCAAAAGACAGTGTATGGAACTATTTCAAAGTGATTGCTATGTGTGCCAAGTCTTCCGAGTAGATCGGCTAGGACTGCAAAATGATGTTGATCGCGGGGATTAGACTTTTGTAAATATTAAATATATTTTATATTGTTGTACAGTATACAGTATAGTTATGTTGTCGAAAGCTGCAAACATAAACATTAGTGATATTACTTAGGTAGTTAAAATAGCAGCTCGAACATCTGAGAGGTCCATTTTTAATTTTAATGTACAATCATTTATACAGCATGACATTTTTCTTAATATCTAAATAATTAAATAAAGTTAGGTGTTTCAGCTTTCACATGTTTATGAAATGAGATTATGTAAAGGATACAAAAAACGCATGCTATAATTTTGGATAAGCTGTAATTGATTGATCGATGAAGATATCAATTGATTTTGCAAATATTTTCTTTTCAGTATTAAGACTTTTATAACATTATTTTTCACATTCCACCTTATCATTATTATTGTGTAGTCATAACTTCGCTGTGCAGCTATTCTTGTAAATATAAATATGTATATAAAGGCTAAGTTACAGAATTTAGAAACATAGGACTTCATAAAATATAGTATTTAGAAGGAAGTAGATAAAATATGATACAAATAATGAATAGGTACTAAGCTCCGTAGTAAATTTGAATAATATTTTCGTCAAATAATGGCACAAGCTATAAGCAATGCATATAATGGAGATCAATTAATTTGAAGGAAAACAAAAGTGTTATTGTTATTATAGGTAAATTGCTGTGCTAAGTGCATAGTGCCTTGTAGGTTGCCAATTTAGTGCCTAATATATTTTAGGAAGCATTAAATTATATATGTTTAGTCACTCGTTAATGACTTGAATGTTTGTAAAGCTTATAAGCTATTACTTTAGAGGTCCTAATGTTTTTTATCACATACTCATTTACAAATACCTGACTAATTAGCAACTCCTCGATAGCTTTTCAATAAATCTTTAACGTGAACTACTTCCCTCTTAGAGTGGAAAATCTATATTGAATATTTTGTTAATTGTATTATACTATAATATAATAACAGTGCTATCCTGTAAAAGTATTTTAATATTTTTTTAAAAAGTAGTAAAGGCTTAATATACCACCTGAAAATCAGAGATCTATAAAATGAAGTGTTCCCACCGTGAATCTATCAAAGTTTTTATTTAATTATACTGAACTTTTCCCGAGTTACATTTTGGAAAAAAATTTTTTTAGATTTATCAAATTAGATAAATTATTCGTATCGATCTTAGAAAAATTCTAAAATTATAAGTAAATAAAATAATTTTGAGAGCTTTTCATATCAATTATTATGTGGTGTTTACATTGTTAAATAATATTCATACTACACATTTTTAATGAGTTGAAATGACTGCATACTCCAAGAATATGTATTATTTATATTCTTTTTATTAAAGAAATCAATTTTTAAAATTACAAACATTATTTTATTCACCCCACAAAGTAAAAAAGTTTTATATGAAAAATGCAGTACAAATGGGACTTACCGTTTTGCACTGCACAGAAGCAAAATTTAAAAAATATTGAAGATACTGACTAAGATTAAAAAATATTAAATTTGGCAAGCCTAACAGTACTTAAATCTTCAAATTTTTTTGGCAGATTGATTGTGAAATTGGTGATGGTTAAGATCAAATAAAACACTATGCGCCATCCATGTAATTAATATAACTACAGAGAAATTTACGTTTTTCTGCAGCTGTCTTAACTAAATTTGGATCTATGGTTACACCATCGTTATTAATAACTGCCTCTTCCTTCAAGTAGTTACTACCTTCATGTAATAATACAAAGTTATGTAATACACATGCCGCACAAATCAATGTATGTATGGCATCTGTCTTGTTTATGTCAATAGAATTTAGTTTCTTGAATCTATCCTTAAGTATCTCAAAGGCATGTCCAATATATGTGCTAGCTTTCCAGTGTATTTCATTAAATTTTGTTTCTTCACTTGTCAATGGAATATCACCTGTAAAGGGTGTAATCAAATTTTTTTTTAGCTTGTACTCTGAATTTCCCAATATGTGGTTGTCAAAATCAATAAAATTTTTCATTTCATGAGCCAACTGGCTTTCTCTATACACCCTATTCTTATGTGTACTTCCAATCTGTCCTATATGGATATCAAAAAACATAAGTGTCTCATCACATACTGCTTGTAAAAGTATGATGACTGGTTTGCCCTTCTGATTTGTTTTTGACCTGACTCTTAGGCGACAAGCATCTATGAAGCCGACACAATTGGGAAAACCAAATCTACTATTTACTTTGATTCTAGTCACATGCTGTTCTTCCAAAGAAGGCCAATTTATAAAATGGTATTTTTGTTCAGATAGCAGAGTGGCAAGTTCATGAAAAATATAGCTTACAGATGATTTGTGCATGCCAAATAATTCAGCAACATCACTATAAGAAGAATCAGATGTGAGGAGCCATAAAAATATGTGAACTTTCTTGTCCAAAGGTATAACTGATGAGCAAGGCTTTATATATTCTCGAAGGTGATTAATTAGGGCCTGTAAAGAGATAAAGAAAGAAATCAGTAGTGTCAGGGAAAAAATGTATAAATAACTAGTGTGAGCCATACAGGATTTTTGAATTGTTATAAAACCAACAAAGCTATTGGTTAACTCATAATAAATATTATTACCCACATCCACAAATATTATGCCTATAAACAAGTAGTTTATTTGGCACCTAGGTCTTCTATCCGAATTTAGTTAGCAAGGCATATTACATAAATATGCTTAGCAAACATGTATCTTTAAATGGATTTCCATTACTTATAATTAAATAAATAAAAATAAATTACAGTATTATAAAAAAATAATAAAAAAATTATAATACTGAAGATAATTGCTTCTTAAACTTTCCTAAGCAAAACCAATAGTTTCTAAATATGATTGAATAAAAAACTTACATTATTTTTACTTATTACTTAGCATGATATCTTAAAATAATGCATGATATCAATCAAGTAAAAAAGTTCACTCTGGGCAATATAATATAGAAATCTGCCTGAACTTGTTTTAACTATTTAACCATATCTGATGAGCATGCACAGACTCAATGTCATAAAAGTGGATAAAGCGATAGTATGTCTGGACTGTAGCAAGTGGAGATTTGTGGTTTCTGCCTCCCACTTTGGGAATAAGGCGGGAGTTTATAGATAGATCATAACTTAGTACCTGTATAGTAGTCTTTTTCATCTTAAATTTTTCAGCATAATCTTCATCAGTATACTTTACTACTATATCTTCATAAAAGTTTTTACTGCTATAAGAAAGAGAACGCCTAACAAATTCTCTGGTTTCAGTCCTTATTATTTGATTAGCATCTTCTTTCATAATTATTTCATTCATACTAGAAATATTTTCGTTATTTTCATTAATAACATTGGCAGCAGCTACTATCAATCTATTCATGTTTGACACATTATCATCCAGAAACAGCTCCATCAAAAGTTCTTTATCATAATCCATAATTTTTGCTGTGTACATTTTTTAATGAAAGCCTAATAATTAGCCATCAGTCCTTAGAGAAATTAAAAGAAATACATAGTATTGTTGTATTGTCATAAGTCATTCATTATTTTCACCACAGAACACTATTACTTCTAGCGAAGAAAAACAACAACTTCATAGTTAAAAAGTGCTTACACCAGCGCTCCAGTTAATGCCATCGGTACTATCGTATGGCGCGAGAATTTAAAATATTATGCAAGTACAGAATTTTAAGGAATTTCATGTAGAGAAATAAAATAAGGAGTGTACCTGTGTAACAATTTCATTAAACTACAATAATTTAATTAATAATGTTAATATCACAACACAAAAACGTCAATATACTTAGCACTGGAACCTCTTCGTAATTGATGATTATACGTAGTTGGTCCCAAAGTTCTGTCACTGGCACATTATTTCTAAATTTCGAGGAGGATTTTATAAAAAAGTTATTGCATTCTATTTTGGAATGTTTGACTATTGTTTTAAAACAAAAAACAATAACTTTCCGTAATTTTTCACGATGGAGTGGACATTGAAAGAAAACCGAATAGTTGTTATTGCGTTGCACCGCTGTGGGCACTCGCCGAGTAGGTACCATTTTCAAGTTGCTCAAAAATTTGAATATAACGCTTAGGTTTGTGTTCAGTACTATTGATAGCTACCTTGAAGTCTCCAGTGTTGAGGACAAGAGAAAGAATTGGTCAGCCACGCTCCGCAAGAACACCAGCAGTAATCAAAGCTATCAAGGCGCGGATAGTAAGAAATCCTGTCCGAAATCAGAAGTTGATGGCTATGCAGATGAGAGTCAGTAGGAAAACAGTGAAAAAAAAAAAAAAAAAGGTTTTAAATGAAGATCTTGGTCTACGAGCATACAAAAAAAGAGTAGGAACTTACTTAATGCTCGTCTTAAAGCAATAAGGCTTAAGAGATCGCGGGTGTCATATAAGGGGTACGCGTAAAACCGACACCGTGATATCCTCTTTACGGACGAAAAAATTTTCGATATTGAAGACGAGTACAATAAAGAAAATGATACAGTGTACGCTAGGAGTTCTGAAGAAGCTGAAAATAAAGTTCCAAGGGTGCAACATGGTCATCATCTATCATCAGTAATGGTCTAGTTGGGAATGTCCTATCCGGGCTAACTGAGGTTTATTTTTGCAAAAAGGGGGTCAAAACCAGTGCTAAAGTGTACCAAGAGACGGTTTTGGATCGCCTTGTCAAAGACCTGTCCAGCACCCTATTTTCGGGACATCACTTCGTGTTCCAGCAGGACTCTTCGCCTGCATACAAAGCCAAGACCACTAAAGCCTGGTATGAGCGTGAAAACATCGACTTAATTATACATGAGGATTGCCTTACTCCAGTCCGGACCTTAATCCTTTGGACTATAAATTTTAGCAGGTCTTAGAGAGGAAGGTCTGTGCTATACCACATACAAATTTGGAGATTCTGAAGTCATCTTTAAAAAAATCAGAGACTGAAATCGACATGAATATGGTGCGTGTTGCGATAGATGACTGGCCGCGGCGCTTAAGGGCCAGTATTAAAAATAAGGGAGGTCATTTCGAATATTTTTATCCTATTTCTATTCCTTAATTAATGTACTATGAATTGATATATCACTCATTAAAAACTGACAAGTAGTTTTGTTTTTATCTTTATTTCCATTTATGACAGAACTTTGGGACCGACTACGTAGTTTATACAACACAATTAGCTTTTTTGCAGTAGCTCCCTGCAAGAACTATTTACGTTAATTCAAACACTGTACTTTTGTAAATGAATCGGGCGGTAGAAAAGAAACAGCAAAAAGATTTTGAGATTTTCACTAAGTACATTATTTTGTACATGGTGTTACTATTAAAGAAAAACCTGAAGTCCCTTGAAAAAAATAGTAAAAATGTCGTGTCAGCAATAGGTCAATCTTCATATGAAATCTGAACACTCTCAAATTTGTTTTATTTAAGTTTCATATATACATTTAAAATGTAATATTACCTACCTGCTTTTACAGATTTAATTATGTAGGAGGGTTTGCAGCCCTTTGATAATTATTTCATAACTACTACGTACTACTTACGTACAAGGTACGATAGTAGCGTATCATCTTACTTATAGTAAAAAACATTGCCCTGGTATGTATGATTGATGCGTAGTTCATGGTTATGAAATTAATTGCACCAATATTTGTTTCATATTTGAAACAATAATTTTTTAACTTATACTTTATTTAATCAAGATAGAAGATACATCCCAATATGCAGAATTTTATATAATAAATACTACAATAATCTATCCAAAAGTCAGACTTCAGTACACTGTTAAAGATAAATGCAATTTCTTAATCATATAATATGTGTAAACTTACACATATTATGTTGTCAATAATGCCAATACAGTATGGCCCATCAATATAGAAGCATGGCAAATAATTGGTAATTCACATATTAATTTAGCATATTATTAAAATATTGCTTTCCTTGACTATTTATTAGTATTATTGTTTAAATTATTACATTTTCTGTTAATCTTTTTTCCATATCAATGTCAAATTGTTAGCAGGCATCTCTACTGTATCAATAAGAGAAACATTATTATTTTCAGCCAATTTTATCAAATCATTTAAATCTCTAAGGCCCCAAGATGGGTTTCTTGCTCTTAAAGATGCATCAAAGTCAACATTGCTCTGTGGTGTAATTATTCCATCTTTACTGTAAGGTCCATAAGTAATCATTAGTGCCTCAGACTTTAAATAATTACCAGCGTTTTGGAATAAGCCTACAGTACATTCATAAGGGCTTATGTGTATAAGATTTGCTGAGTACATATAATCTAATGATTCTTCTTTAAACCCATAGTTGGATAAACTTTTCCTTATGTCTATTAACAATGGCTGTAAAATATTCTTAGTTGGGCAAGCGGAAGCATAGTAAGAAATACTACCAAATAAATTACTATCAACTTCACTAGGCTGAAATATGACATTAGGAAAATTAGGTGCAAAGTGTGCCAAATGTTGGCCAGATCCTGAGGCAACTTCCAAAAACAATTGATCTTCATCTTCATTTTGATCAAACTCAGTCACAATAAATCTCTTTAGAACTTGCAGTATAGAGTCTTGATTTCGAGTTGCTGCTGGATAAACAAGCTTTTCTCCGGTATATCTGTAATGTGTTGTAGTTTTGTATATTTAAATTTTTAAATGTTAATTACTTCGTAATTTTATAACGTTAAACTCAAATGATATAAGCAAGCTCTTACCCATCGTTTTCGTGGAAATTAGAAGAAAAATCTCTTGATTTAGACATAGTGTTTAGTGCAGCCCGAAGACAGGGCTTTATTTTAAACACTCGCTGAAGGAAAATTTTTACAATCTTAGTTAAACAGTTTTATACCTTGCTATTAAACTTGGTTGACTTGGTTTTTTCTAAAAGTTGTAGTACAACTTTCGGATGCATAAAACACAGTATAGCAGGAGATAATTATTAAATTGTCTAAAATTTATGAATACACATATATTACCTAACACTTATATCATAACAGCACAGCGTTTAATATTTTCAAATTATAAAAGCGCGAGCCGGTAGGAAACGATTAAAGGGGAAACCAGTATTACTATTTACTTTATTTTCCGATCAAGAATTTGACTTTTGGTGTCAACAGAGTGACAGACCAAATTAAGATAATATGTCATTGTCTGATGGGTGATAGGACATGGCTGACTGAAATGAGGATTGTTGAGGCACAGACTAGAAAGGCATGTCGAGGCAAATCGAGCTGTACGATAAGTCTAATATTTTATAAGCTGAATCTGAATTCTGAAATTATCAAGGCTACTAATTTTTTCAAAGAAATTCTGTGGCTTACTGAGTCGAAAGCTTTTTAAATATCAATTAAAATTCCATGTGCATTTGTTTTTCCATATATGTATATTATTTTTAATTATAGCCGCTAAATCTGCTGTAGCAGTAGACAAAGTATTTCATTTATGGAGAAATCTGTAGTTTGCTTGTATAAATCCAAAAATGTTCTGAGACCACAGTTTATAACTGTTTTAAATATCTCTTTTGCTAAGACGCTAGAAAATATATAAGGCGATAGCTACTAGGATCTGACCGAGAACCAGCGTTGTAAATATGTAGTTAGAAATTGTATTGTATCGGGAAACGTACCCTCCACCAACAATAGCTTATATATATGGTGAATGAAAACATAGCATTAAAATAACGCTAATAAATATAGTTTCATTAAATTATGAAAGAAATAAAATAAAATTTGTAACACCTCGACGTTTGTCGTTTCACAACTGGGTGTATTTGAAGGTAGTTTTTGCCGCCAACAAAACTTTTTTTTAGCCATAAACATTTTTCATACTTGAATTAGAATACCCACTACACATTATTAAAACCTCCTTTAAAAGGTCTCCTTCTATTTAATATAATCCACGAAGCGGTGATGCGCGGCAAAAACTACCTTAAAAATGATTTACTCTCATACCTTTATATGCCTACAGACTCCTACAGATATAGTTGCATTGTGGTTATATCTGTCAGATAAAAGGACTTAATAAAAAACAATATATTTTAAACATATTTCTTTCTATTTTTAAATAATTTTATAAGTAATTGAAAAATATCGACGTATGTCAGTAGTTTTGCTAGCTGGTTGATAAGTACAATTATCAATGTTAATATTTGTACTATGACAAATTGGGATATAGATGTACCGATTTCGAGCCAGCTTCCAGTGTTCGTTACACAGTACAATAATAGCAAACCCATTATATTTGAGTATATCAGCACAATAATGTGTGTATATCCAATTGGTGCCTGTAACAATAAAATCAAATCTACATTCATATTATAATAATTTGATTAATTCCCTAACAAATAATAAAAAAAAGTGTGTGAGTGTCAGCTACGACGCACGATTGGAGTTTACTCCTTACGAACGATAAAATGGCGATAATGTTCTGTGGCTGTCGACCATATTTTCATACTAAAGGTGGTAAGAATATATGTTTTTATAATATAAATGTTTGTAGTAGTAATAAAACGTACCTACATCATCTATGCCCAAATAGGATTTTCTTTCTGTGACCAAAGTTACCTTTATAGTAAGAGAAGAATAAGAATGAACAATCTTTTTAGTTTTAATTTCACTGACCATTACTATTGACAAAACTCTATGGCACGCTAGACAATCTACTTTTATTTTTTTCACCTGTCAACACTGACAATGTTGTAACGTGGCTGTCAAAACGTGAATTCAAAATAGAAAAGTCTGTGTAATGTATTCCATCTCATTCTTTTACACGTTCAATCCTACAGATATATATGTTTGTCTCTTTCTACATAACGCCTCAACTTTTCGTGTTACACTTGATTTTACTCCTCATAAAATTTCCGTACCGGGCCTTATAACTCAAATCGAAATCAAAAAAACTTTATGATTAAGATTAAGCATACGGTTTGTTGGGCTCAGCATTCATATTAACAAATTCAATATTTACCGTTTTCGTCTGTGCAAAGAAGTGTGAATAAGTGAACTAAACAACTATTGAACCATTTCTTTTCACCAAGTTATAAAAATCCATATCATTGAATAATATATTATTAAATCTCGTAATTAATGGTTGTAGACACACTAGACACACTACTTTAGCTTTTACTTTTATGATAGTGTAAATACTCCGACATGTTTATATAACTCTTAGGATAACTTAGTGCTAATTAAGACGAATAATCAAGTAGTAAGCTATTAATACACACCTCTCAATTAAGGTAATTTACCCCACAGTTGTAAATAATTACATGGGGTAGATATGACAACGCGAATTAGAAAGAAACAACCTGAACTAAAAAAGTTTCATCTTACGTTTTTTACTTAAGTCGCAATTCATATACCGAGATCAACCCACAAAACCAAAAAAGTTAACCTAACTCATTTCAGGGGCTTGAGACAAAATCACTTAGCGACAGGCGTGACACACTAAACGAATTTGTATTGTAAAGGTCACGTGATGAAACGTAAGCTTGTCATTGTCATACAAATTTCTTTTGTAGTCGGTCACGCCTTTCGTACCTGATTTTGTCTCAAGCCCCTGGTCTCATAGTGACTGAGGACATACCTTAGTTAAGTTTTGTATAGCTTTAAAACAACAAGCAACACTTAGCTGTGTCGACAGTGTCTTCATGACTATTAAACCTGTGATTAGGAATGGTTTGAACGAAGTTGTAAAGCACAAAACCCATCTCACTTCATATGAATTTAACGAGTCTATGTTCCCTGTGCCAAAATATGACAAAACAATATATAATAACTGTATAAATTTAAGGAAATGTGGTTTCTTAAAATATACAGTTTTTGCGGCTATATTTATAACCAAACACAATTAAAGTAATATACCAGCAATGTTCGTATAAAAATAAATATACCGAAAATTCTGGTTATAGTGGGATGGCGCTACAGATAAGCTGAAATCCACGATATTATTTAGTCTATGAAAAAATTCAAGATTCTATCATTGCGCATCTTTGCGACGTAAACTATTTAGTGTAGGTAAATAAGATTTTGTAAGTTTCATGTTTCGGATTCATAACAATAAATCTTTAATAGGTATCGAATGGCATTATAACAAACCAGCGTATTAAAATAGACAAATCATTGCTATGGAAAAGCGGTAACGGTCTAGATAATTACAAATTTTGACGTCGGATGTCACTAGCTGTATCAAAATAAGAAATTTTACCGAATAATACGAAACGATGGAAAACATTTTTGTATGTTTTTTTACTAGCTATCCATTCTCGAACTCAGCTTAAAACACACTCCTATAGGAAAAAGACGGTAGAATCTTTAAGAAATATTATAATAGCAGCTATTAACTTTAATTCGTACCAGTGTTTTTTGAGATTTGAAGTCATATGTCTAGTTTTTGTTAGAATATATATTATAAAGGATACGAAGAAGAAAGCTCTTCTAAAATCATCACTGCTAATACTCCTTTCGAACGATGTCAAATGCTTCTGCTTTCTTTTTTCATCTGAATCAAAATAGCAGTCTATAATCTGAAAATGCAATAAATAATATTAAGAAAATTCACTTTATATCGTGCTACTAGCAAGACCATAATAACCCGCACAAAACTGTGTTCAATTGGCTTAAGCCCGAGTGTAATAGTGTACCAGGATTATCAATCAATCTTGAGTTAAAGTAAACAGTTAACAATAATAATAACTATACGTCGCCATAGGATTAAGAATAATAATTATTATACAATACGATCATAATAATTATTATATAGCACAAAACAATTATTAATAATGTCAAAAAACATAAATCATACCTCTTTATTGCCGATATCAAGTAATTTAAACTCTATATACATCCAGCAAGTGATATTAAATATTAATGCAACGATAAAGAGTCCTTCATGCGCTACAGACATTAGTAAATAAAATATTATAGTTGACGAATGAATTCCAAGAATACGATTATTCATTCTCCTTGTATACATCAGAGGTAATATCGGTAAAAGGGCTGAAATAAAATTAATTTAACATTTTATAAATGATATTTTGTTCAGTGGAAGAAAGGGTAACAAAAATGGATCGCAATTTTGTCTCATCTTGTACCAACAATTTAATGTGTGTCAAAAAGATCCCGAGTTTAAGGTAAAATCTATTCTGAGAATTCCTAAAATCACGTGAAACAGTGAAACAATTATAATTTAAATATGAAACAAATATTTGTAGTATTGGTGTTAAATATCTAGTGTTTTTCGGTATTATTATACCTGTTGTATTCTGTAACTTCTTAAAACAATAGCGATAGTATTGTCTTTTATTGACATAACTTTCACACATTTTATAATAAAACAATTTTTTACCGGATTGAAGTTATGTATTTACAATTATTTTTCATAATTTTAAATTTAACCGACGTTTCGCGTGCTTTACAGCGTGCGTGGTCACGGTGACTGAAGACTGTAGAAAAGCTGTAGAAAAAGTTGTATTATCTGTATTTGATTCCCCGGAGTTGGTATCGACTAAAAGATGGAGGGTTTTGGCAGAAATGGCTCACGGTGTCCTCTATATAAATAATTGTAAAAACATAACTTCAATCCGGTAAAAAATTGTTTTATTATCAAACAATAGCGATTTCAACTGCAATGTGTGTTGTATCGCTTGATCCCAAGTTCGCGATAAGCGCTACGGATATTGAGACAATGATATCGAATCGCATTAGTTACGCAAGTTCTAATTCAAAGAGCATTGCTATACATATTTATAATACTTACCACCAATAAACCAACAAACTGTTTGCAAAACCTGTGAAATGGGAGCGCCATGAGCAAATCTTTTTGATTGGATGTATATAATCTGTAGTGCCATAGTCAGTAAGACCATATGAACAATAGTAAGCATCACATCTCGTATACCATGTTCGTTATCAGTATGGGGGCTAAAAATATACCATACGTGATACAAAAGTACCAGTAGCCAAAGAAAGCCTCCCAGAAATCTGTAAATAAATGGATTTAAGGTTGTTCAGCATCATAACGTTTTTGCTCTTTAAAATTATAGTAGTATGTGGATGTAATTTACCCCACAAACAAAAATTCCACACCATTATTATTATTACTTTCCGCCTTATTCATAAAAAAATAAATCTAGTCTAAATCATTAAACAAAAGTAATATTTTTTCTTTTTCTATCTAATTGTATTTACGCTGTGATTAAAGAGACAGATGAGTATTTTAGTTAAAACAATGGATTTGAACTTTTTTTTAAAATAAATGAATAAAGGGGTATTTTTTTTTTTAACGTCTATGCAATAATTCATTTTTAGTTTTAACTCCCTAAACCTAAGACTGACCAAGACTGACTAAATGTGGCTATACCTATATTATTGCTAGTCCTACATTATATTAAACTCATCTGCCATGTTATTATTTTTCGTTTTGGTCTAACAGGGATTGTGATGTTGTGACCATTTTATATTTGGATGTAAAATCATAATTTTCACTTTACAATATTTTTTTTTTATGATTGGACAATTCACACCAATTGAAGCTTGTGTATAGGTACTAGGCATCGGATATACATACATATTAGAGATAGATAGACATATAAATACATCTTTAAACACCCAAGACCTAAGCACAACACCAAATGCTCATCACATCAATGTTTGTCTCAGCCGGGGATCGAACCCGGGACCCATGGATTCGCAGTCAGGGGTACTAACCACTAGACCAATGAGACGTCGTACTAACCACTAGACCAATATGCAAGGATACTTACACTAGTTCAATAAATACATCCTTTCCTACAACAGGACTAAATGAAAAAATGCTCAATAATAAGCATCCAGCAGGCCACGACAAGTATAGAACTGGTTTTATATTATGTTTGAATCGGGAAAATGTTGGCCATAAACTTATTCCCAAAAGTGGTATGCTAAGAACCCATCTGTAGGAAAATGAAAAGCCCTGAAAATAAATAACATTACTCTATTTATAAGCTCAATTATTATATTAAATTTACTATAATTATAATACTAATTTATAGTTAAAAAAACCCTTTGCATAATAGGACTTTATTAAAACCGAACCAACTAGGTCAAATTTATACCAATGTTTTAAGTACCCAGTTTACAGTGTTTTACTTTACTTTTACCCAAAATTACACAGGTTTTAAAGTAACCATATAGACAATAGAGGTTTAACCCTTTACTGATTTTATAAGGATAGCTTTATTTGATTTTATGAGGGCCTCAACATGTTGACATAGTGGATGCGAGCAGTAGTAATTTTTTTCTAACTTACTATTGCAATTGATCCTATTGTATAGCATAGAACACCAATAATCAAGGTCCAGAAATGCCTCCTTTGAATAAACATATTAAATGTTCTTATCCACAATTCTATGGGTGATAATGAATGATACCAAAGAAACATTGGAAGATTGAAGTATATATAATACTGTATCGGTAAACTTTGTGCTAAAACAAATGGGCCTATTTAAAAAAAATAAATATAGAATATACCTATGTCTGTGGCAACAGAATCCTAATGTCACCTTTCACTCACTTTTTGTTTTATTTGGTTATGAAACATTATTTAATATAATTAAAGAAATTAACTTACCATAAATTATAATACTGGATAATATAGTTATAAATATTGATAATCCTAAAATACTCTTATCTACAGTCTTATAGATATTAGCTGTCACTTGATATTTCTTATTTGTAACATCAATTTGTGAAAATACTGATTGTTGCATTAAAATCCTCAATAAATATGTTATCCATCCCAGGAAGGACATTGTTATTGTAATCAACAATGGAGTTTGATAATAATTGTGGTAATAAATAAGTCCCGAAAGACTAAGGTTCATTATCTCTTCACTAAATATAATCAATTGTTCATACTCTTCATTTTTTAAAAGCATTTCTGTAAAATGTAATAACTCATCAACTTTTCGTCCATCCAGAGGTTTGTAAGGATTATATAAGATAGACAAGGCATTTGCTTCAACATCAAGCCTCTTTTGATTGTATTGTGAAAGGAGCTGTCTACTGTTACTATAGACTGCTTTAGCTTTATTTGATAATGTTAGATTCATCAGATTTGGTTTAAGTTGACCCTAAAAAAAAACAAACATTATTATTTCAGAGAAACATATTTTATTTAAATAAAAAATACACAAATACATATTATAATTTAGTACACATTTTACTTTATATGCACATATTATTTCAAAGAGATATAATATAGTTTAACTAAAACTTATAGATGAATAGCATATTACAGAAAAAAATATTTGAGTTAAGCTGAAATCTGAACAGTAAAATAATCTGTCTTTACAGTCATAAACTAATATTTTAATGAGTAGGTGAACTTACAATAGAATTAACTGGAACTGGAATGGAGAGAAATGTAGCCATTAGTGGTGTCAAATCAGCTTGATTCAAATCAAATCTATGTTCATAAAACATTGAATTAGTTTCTTGATCTATATTCTTCTCACCCTGAATTTTCTCCACTCCTGATCCCCAGAGAACATAGGGTGTTTTAGTCTCATGCTCATATCCAGTGCCATGAGAACCTGAGACATAACATAATTATGCCACTATACAATTTTAAAACATATCTCCATATTTTTTCTTTATTCTATTGATTACTATTTAAGGAATTGTAAACTTTTCCATAATCAAACAAAATTATTAATTTATATAAAAAACATTACTCATCAATTATCTCAGCTCATATTTAATTTTTGTTTACATATTATCAAAATTTTTAGGCCAGGTATTTTTTTAAATATCCATACATTTTAATTAATATTATTCATGTACTTGAAATACATATAATTTTGGTATTGGTAAAAATGTTACCCCAATCAGTCATTCCGTGATCAGCAGTCATAAGAAATGTGGTCCTTCCATCATCATTATAGAAATCTCTGATTAACTTTTCCATATCTTTAATTCCTTCGTCAACATGTTTTAAAGTAGTCAAGAAGTTTCTGTAAATGATAATAATGTAATTAATTACAAAGTAAAGTTGAACAAAATTATAATAGGTACTTACTGAGTCTTTGGTTTGTGTGTATGACCAGCTGTATCAGTACCTAATAAATGCAGAAAAAATACTATCTTATTGCTATGCAGTTGTTGCATGAGTTGCCCATTATGTTTTGCATTTGTAAAGAAATGTTTCACAGAAAGAAACACCCACTTGTCTAAAAGGGTTGTATTTTTATCAGAACTATAAGTTTGGTCATAGGGATCAAACTTTTGAACAAAAATGTGGTCTTCTAGCTTGGGGTCCTTTGTAAATATATCCACAATATCATATGTACCCCAGCACCAGGTATAAGAGCTTTGATTAAATACAGAATCGAAGTCTACTGGGTTTTCTTTCCAGCCTTTAGCTACAGCTGAGGGATCTTCATAGAATCCAGCAATTATTGCTACATGGCCTGGCCTACTCTCAGTTGGTACTCTAGTATTTGAAATCCCCCATCGCCCCTGATTATTAGCAACTGACCTGTAATAAATTTCCAGTAAATAAAATAAAACATATCTATCTATCTTAAAACAATGAAAGCCAAAACTACCAAAATTTTACGTACCTCAAATATGGCATTGTCGTATAGTTAAGAAATGATTCCGCTCTTAATCCATCAACCACAAATAAGACAAGTCTGTCAGTCAGGGGTTCATGTGTTGGGTGGTAAGGGCTTACATTTTTAACAATAGGTGATTTAAAATAAATATCGAAAATTGAATAAAGAAATACAATATGTATAAAAATACCCAGCAAAAACATTGTTTTTGAGGAATTATACAAACATTATTTTCCTCTCATGATTTACGACTAAGATTCATCCACCACAAATCACAATGCAATAAATGATGAATAAAATCGCTTGTATTGGACTGTTAGACACCGTTATAAAGATATAAAAACCTACTTTTAATAATTTAGTTTTTTTTTTAAATTAAAACCGTAAATACAACCTTAAAACGTAAATATTATGTCTGAATTCTGCAAACTACGCCCACAGACTAATTGGACTTAGTAGTTAGTTTTTTTTTTTTTGGAATTCATGGCCAGGGGCCTTAGTCAAGATGCCTTAACAGTAGTGTATGTAGAAAGTCAAAAACTAAATTTGTATGAAAACTTTTCGACACGAACTGTCATTTCCATACAAATTTAGTTTATGACTTTCTACATACACTACTGTTAAGGCATCTTGACTAAGGCCCCTGGTACCTTTAGGCCAACTTAGTAGTTAGTGGTACAAATAAAGAGGTCTTGGAAGATCTGTGTGTATTTATTATTCATAACCAAATTTTATAAATGCCACGATTTATTACTAGCCATGACTATAAATTTTTTTAACATCTACCATCACAACCAAAGAGAGACTGGAGTTAAAACAAAATCGTATTCACACTGTAGGTACAAGTCATGACTGGTCCGATTTCGCTCCAGTCAAATATTCTTTTCGACCAACCGGTACCGGCACGATATTGAATCCAAACTGGAGCGATATGATAGTGAGAATACTCTAATTCCTTCTTATCTAAGAATATTTTACCGGACCGAGACCGGAGCGAGATCGGACCGCGAAGAGAATCATAGTTTAAATCGAGCCTTAAGGTGGGTACTGATCAAATGCTCGCGGTGTAATCGAGCATTTGCAGTGAGCATACTCGCATGGAGCTAAGCATGCTCGATGATCATCGATGTTGAAAGCAAAAACATCGATGTAGCTATACGAAAAATATCGTAAGATCGTTTTTACGGAATCGATCATCGATGTTGACTCACGACCACTGCGCTCGTGACGAGTTAATGCAGCGTACTGACTACTGATAGAATAAATGATCGACGCGTTGATTTCGCCGTAACAATACGTACTGACTGCACGAATGCTCGATATGTAACATGTTACATTACACCGCGTTAGCTTTTGGTCAGTACCTACCTTTAGGTTTTACGTTATATACCAGCCGGAGAATAAAATACTTCGTATAGGTAAAACACGGTAAAATAAAGGTAAAATTTATAGTATCCCGATAAAGATAAGCACAACGCATACTGAATAATCAACAAAGTATGTACCGTAGCGTAAGATATCAACATATATTAAATACAATTAAGCTAAGAAAAAAGTTAACAATAAAAGTTAATTGTTAGAGCTTTGATCAGACTTAAAATAATCACTACTGATATCAGGCGCTGCTCCAGCAGAGAGTAAATCATACAATTCTTCTTCTTGGCATATTTTCAATTTATCGAGAACTTCATCACATGACATTCTTTCCTCTAAAACCTCGGAAAACTGTAGTCCTAAAGTGGTATACAGTCTTCGGATTTGTCCTGCGCTTAGCCAACCTCGTTTACACGGATCAAAACTTTTGATGACTGCTTCAAGATGTCTGAAACCATTTAATGTATTAATAAAATATATTTTTTTACATACAAGCTTTACACAAGATTATATTTCTATAACCTGGATTCATATAAAACTGGAGCTGAACCATGTCCTGATCGAAACAACATGCAATCATCGATTAGCTTCTCCAAAAATACAACTGGTTTATTTGGAGCATGAGATATTAATTTAGTAAGCAAAAACCGTATAAGCTCTGGAATACGACGTTCCTTTAAATATTTTTCTGTTCTTGATACTGTATTAAGCATATACTCCTTGCGCACTGAAATCAGTTCATGTTCAGAGTGAGTGCCGGGTTCAAGATAACATTTGCAAATAGGATACGAGGTAAATTCATTGTATTTTTCATATACACTTTCTTCTTCCATAGTCTAACAAAAATGTCAATATTTTTATAATACGTCTGTATATTCTAAATATCTCAAAGTAAATAAATTTTTGATAAATTATCAATTTTGGTATATTCTTATTGACCAAGAAAATACATTGAAAACATTGTTTATAAAAAGTGTCAATGTCTTAGTATTAAAAAAAAATGAAAATCTTTAGTTTTCTTATTCCAAGTTCAAAATAGATACATCATAATATTATTACCTATAGGTATAAAGAAATCATTATCCTTCGTAATAATATGTTTCTATTCGCGCTCTCACTTTCGTTACTATTATTATTTTAGTGACTGACCGGATATAGAGCGTTGTTATTATATTGTCAATGATCAGTATACTTGAGTGTTTGACATTGATGTTTTAAAATTTAATTTTGTAACCGCTTTTCACTTTCGGCTAGTACTGTACTACCGCCTGTTCATTGTTAGTAAAATGATTGTTTACGAAAAAAAAATATTGTTTTCTTAACAACAGTTATGTGATAATTTTTCCATTTATTAGTGAGTGTCTTCTAAATATTTTGTCTAGTGGTGATATGTTAAAGGACTATCGTAATTTAGTTTTGCTGGATTCGTTTCTAATGTAAAAAATCATCAATAATAATTAACAACATCAAATATGGGTAAAGACCTTAACGAGACCCTTATAGGGAAAATAGACGACGGTAAGTTATATCCTCTGGTCTGCTTTTAAAGATTTGCGTATTAATTTTTGCACTAACATTAAGAAATTCTAAATATCTAGTAAAACTTATGAACTATGTATAATCTTTATTTCAAGCAATCGATACTGATGTACGCAAAACTGCACAGGAGATGGATACTATTCGGCAAAGAACTATTGCATATGAATATTTATGTCGCCTTGAAGAAGCGAAAACATGGATGGAGGCATGTGTTAAAGAAACACTTCCTCCTGCAGTGGAATTTGAGGAATGTCTTAGAAATGGTGTATATTTGGCTAAATTGGGGCACTTTATTGCCCCTGATGTGCTCCCTTTAAATAAAATTTATGACATTGATCAACGTAGATACAAGGTACTAAATTTCTTAAAATTGTTAAACCTATCCAATATCGACATACATTGAATGTAATGAATTGAAACGTCATAAATTATTTCAGGTACTTGGGCTTCAGTTTAAGCATACTGATAATATTAATAAATTTTTACTAGTACTGAAGTTAACAGAACTGCCTGTGGTAAGAGATAGTTGTTAATTATCAATTTCATATAAAACCAAACTTAATTTTAATAATCATAATATTTTTTCAGACTTTCCAACCAGAAACAACGGACATTTATGATAACAAAAATATGCCAAGGGTCATCTATTGTCTTCATGCATTAAGTTCTCATTTATTTAAATTAGGCAAGGCACCGCTTATTAATGATGTTTTTGGTAAAGCTGTCTTTACAGGTATGCTCATAACTTTAGCCAGATATATAATTTATTTCTATGCAAATATTTTTAAATTTATTTTTGTTTTTAGATGAACAACTTGATTTGGTTTCAAAAGACTTGCAAAAGTTTAAACACCCTCTGCCAGCATTTCAGAAAATAAGTGGACTCTTATCTGGTAACAATAATGATGGTAGTATTACCTATAAAGCTCTAGTTGAACTTAATGATATTTTGGACTCTGAAAAACCTATAACAGCAGCTCTGTTAAACCCTCAACTCAAATTAAAGCACATCCAAAATAAGTTGGTTGATGAATATAAAAATGTATTAAAAAATGCCAAGCAACAAAAAATGCAAGTTGCCCTTAATCATTCTTTAAATGACAGCTATGTCCCTGATGAATATAATGAGATATTGACATTAGTTGAGATACAGGGATACATAACAGCAACTAATTTTAAATATGTATGGAAATCATTATGTAAAGCATGTGATAGGAATGATATCAACAGTTTACACAAAGCATTTACCGAAGACTGGATTAAGTTAAAAAATTACAGTCCTGATAATCTTGATTTTTATTGTGATGTCATAAAAGAGTTAACAGAAAACAACAAAGATGTTGATGTTGAAAGTATAACAAATTGGCACAAAATATTTCAAAATATTATTAATGATGGCAACAGAAAATCACTTGAACATGTTGGACATAAAACAGCCATTGCAGATGTAAACAATGCTCTGGAGGAAGGAACAACCGATGATTTGTACAGATCATTGACAAATCCCCATTTGGGACTAAGATTTAAAATAAACAGGTTTGCCATGCCTCTTTTATATGAAGAGATGAGGCTAGAGAAGTGTGAATTAGAAAAGAATCTAAATGAAAGTGAAATTGCAGCATCTGTGTCATATTTGACAGCAATAGCATCTATATCAGAAGCTTTGGAGAGGGGTGATGAAAATGCTGTATGGAATACATTGAACTCAAATCAGATTCATCTAGAAATGTTGCGTCCTCATTGCCGACGCCGATACTTTTCAGCTTTAGTTTCAGCCCTTGAAGTAAAGTTTAGGGAGCAATGTGAATGTCCACTCTTAACTTTAGAAGATATTCGTGATACCATTGAAATGGTCAATGTTAAAGATGATGATAATGACGAATGTACGTATATTTTTTTTTAATATTTAGCAGATACCATTTTCTAGTAGATATTTCAATCCTAATGACTTTTCTACACAATATTTCTAAAAATGGAGCTTTGCTTACAAAAACATAATATATATTTTTTATTTCAGTGGTTCAGTTGGTAGATAGTATCAATAAGGCTGTTTCTGACGAGAATGTAGATGTATTAATAAATTTATTGAAAAATCCTGCCTTAAAACTAACACTACCTTTGCATAAAGAGGAATATCATCTCTATATGAGGACATTAAAGAAACGACTCCTACTAAAAGAGGCCGAAAATCTATGGTTAGACGATATTATTAAAGCTATTGATGACGTAAATGACGAATCAATTAAAGTAAAAGAATTCACTGAAGCTATTGTTGAATTCAATTCGTCTATATTAAGAAATGACGTAAACACATTTTGGCAATTGTTAACTTGTCCTCTGCTATGTAATTCAAGTTTAGTGGAGAACTCCTGCCGAGACATGTATTTCCAAATGTTTTCTAAAGCACTGAAGAAAAAAGGTCATAACATATGTCCATGGATAGTCTGCCATACAGATGCCGGGAATACTGTGTATATAGATATGGAATCATTCACATATAGCTGGACGACTCCAAAAGATTTCGTGCCTTATGCACGTTACTTGACTAAGAAAGATATAATACATGTTGTTCAAAAAACAAACAAACACCACATAAACACATATAAGCAAAAACATTTTGAGAAAACAGTAACAAAATTCCAAGCTCATTGTCGAGCATTCTTAATAAGGCAGAGAGTGAGAAGGCATCAGTACTTAAAAAATAATGTGGAAGCAATTATATATATACAGTCATGGTGGAGGAAAATTTTAGCCCGTCAAAAGTATGGTACACTTATAAAAATGAAGGCAATTGAAGCAAAACTAAAACAGGAGAGGAAGCTTAATCCCTTAGTTTGGTACAAAGTGCAGGTAAAATTAATTATTCTTATTTGCTTCTGCTAGTATGTAGTCAACAATTTGAGGCCTTAATTTAGTTAAATCTAGAGTTGGTACGGAAAATGAAACAACATGGTAATTGAGGTAGCGGCAGTGCTAAGTTTTTTTTTATATATAGATAAAACATCTTTATAGGTGAGTAATCTTGGTACTTAATATGTAAATCTTAATATATATAAATTACGTGTCACGTTGTTTGTCCGCTATGGGCTCCTAAACTACCGAACCGATATCAATCAAATTTGCACACCGTGTGTAGTTAGATTTAACTTAAAAGATAGGATAGCTTACATCTCAATTTATACCCGCAATATTATTTTATTGCAAAATATTTGTTTATTATTTAATAGTCACAATTCAAACAGATGGCGCTGTGTTTAAAGTACCAATGTTTCACATAAGCTACAATTAATGGCATAACCACTAAAAAAGTATGGTCTTCTCCTACCGTTTCCCTTGAATAGTTTGCTACTATGTAATATAACAAAAACCTAAGCCACAGCAACGCTTGGCCGGTCAGCTAGTATTATTTAATTTTTTTCGAATAAAAATAATTTTTCTTCTCAAAACCGCCAGGCCGGTTCTTTTTCCGCACAGACTAGATTAGGTAAGTCACTTGATCTAGTCTTTATCAACAAATCAAGGGGGTTAGGTTTAAGGGGTAGGTAGGCAGTTTTCCTCGCTATGTTGGCTGCTTTCACATCTAAATCGGCAGGTTGCACGCGCTTGTAAAGATTTTTGTATTTTGTTTTAAGCGGGAACATCTATATTTTGGTACTCCTAGAATATTTGATTAATAATAACGAAAGTAAAAGGGTTGTTGGACATTAACACTTCGCCGCAGATTTTATCTTTAGAAATGCATTGATATTTTTTTCTGCTACTTGCTAATATTTGGTCATTAAATAAAATTGATAATCTCATTATTATAGTAATGAAATATTTTTAACTATTTCTCGTCAGAAAGAATGATTTTGACCTTTATTGTAATAAATTAATTTCGTTTCAGGAGCAAAAAATAGTTAAAATTCAAGCCTTGTGGCGGGGTCGACGTGCGAGACAAGCATTTACCTCTTTATTCCACTCTGACAATCCTCCACTTAGGGTTGTCAAAAAGTTCATTCACATGCTGGATTTCACTACAGAGGACTACGACAGAGAAATCGAATTGCAAACCCTAAAATCAGAAGTCGTGCATTCCATACGAAAAAATCAAGAATTATCAAAACAAATAGACGATATGGATCTAAAAATTGGTTTACTAGTTCAAAATCGAATCGCGTTACAAGAAGTCGCAGCGCATGGGTTAAAACTCAATAATCTGGTTAAGCATACGTCGATGACGAAGCTGGCTGTAAATAAAGATTCTAAAGGGACTTTAATGACTATTTCCTCAGCTGTTAAAGGGTTGAAGTCGTTAACCAAGGAGAGTAAGCGACTGTTAGATGGCTACCAACATCTCTTTTACGAACTGCAGACCAATCCGACATATTTATCAAAACTTCTGTTTTGTATACCACAGAATAAGACAAATTCTTTTCTTCAGAATGTTGTATTGAGTCTGTACAACTTTGGGGCGTATACAAGAGACGAATATTTACTGTTAAAATTATTTAGGTTTACATTAGAGGAGGAAATCAGTTGTAAAGTAGCGAAACCTTTTGATATTATAGCGTCAACACCCTTAGTACTAAAGATGGCTGTTAGTTTGTCTCGGCAACTGTCGGGGCTGAATAGTCTTCAAACAATAATTGGGCCTTTAGTTGAGAAAATTATTAAAGATAGAGAGTTAAATATCGAGACTGGGCCTATTGAGATTTATAAAGCATGGAGGAATGAGACGGAAATGAAAACTGGTCAAATATCGTAAGTAAATTAGTATTCATTAAAATTGCAGTGTTACATAGGATTAAAATATTTACTTAAATACACACACACTTATTTTCGTATAGGCAGAGGACGTCCACAATGCTTCGCCATCGCGTACTTTATTAAAACATTACATCTGGTTATAATAATAACCTGTAGGAATACCTATATGATTGTTTAATCTGTTTCACTATCGACTATTTTCTCCAAAAGCAATAAACGAAATATCCTATTTTAAACCTAAAGTCGTACGTTTGAACCTCTGCTTCAATGGATTTTTTAATCAAATAATACTTGTATGTTTCCTTTTCACATCTAACATGAAAAAAATCGCCTTTCATAATGCCGATACTTACTTTCTTATATATTAAACAAGTTTGTCCCGGCTAGGCTGTTATGGAGAATATTTTAGAAATTAATGTAGAATACACAGGGATAATGTAGCATTCTAATTTTGTAATTTGTTCAGTATTTTTTTTCAAACACCTCTTAGTATAAGCATTTATAGTTTTTCATATGTACATTCTAACTATGTACTTAAAAATTGTACAAATCCGTTCTCTGAAACTAAAAGACGCAATAATAAAAACATCTGAAAATCAATCCTATAAAAAAAACAGTGGCGCTACAACCTTATTGGTCTAGGAATCAGATTTCTGAATCTGTTTTGTGATCATTTGTTTTTTCTGATAGGCAAAACGACTTTGACGACTCATTGGTCTAGTGGTTAGTACCCCTGACTGCGAATCCATGGGTCCCGGATTCGATCCCCGGCTGAGACGAACATCGATGTGATGAACATTTGGTGGTGTGCTTAGGTCTTGGGTGTTTAAATATGTATTTATATGTATATCTATCTATAATATGTATGTATATCCGTTGCCTAGAACCCATAACACAAGCTTCACCAGCTTAGAATGGGACTAGGTCAATTGGTGTGAATTGTCAAAACAACAAAAAAAAGTAGACAGCCTTCTGTACCAGACACACTCCGTCAACTTTTTGGGTCCAAGGCATACCGACTTTCTCACTATGTCTTCCCATAGCAGCGTGTGTTTGATTGCGCACATAGAAAGTCATAGATGCATAGCCTGGGTTCGAACCTACGACCAGGGTTCATAGTCGCTGAAGCCACTAGGCCAACACTGCTCCCATGGTCAAAAAAATCAATCCTTTTACAGGAAACTTCCATACACAGTTACACAAGAGGAAGCATTGACATATCCAGAAGTCAAAACTCGCTTAGAAACAGCCTTGGCTCAATTAAAAAGTGTAGTTATTATGTTCCTCGATAAAATAACTACTTCGACTGACTTACTACCATTTTGTATTACGTATATGGCGAGAGTATTACACCGATCGCTGACCACTAAGTTCCCTCATACACCTGAAAAGGATATTTTAAAGGTAGGTTTGATTGACCGACTTCCAAAGCGTATCAGTTTGACCTGTATGTGATATTGCTGGAATTAAAAAATTTCATTATAATACATTTCCTAAGTCTATGTATGCTTGTATGATTGGCCACAATAGTTTAGTCATATCGAGGTGACCCTTTTTGATTAATATTCCAAGTCGTATAAGAGTCGCAAGTTTCATTAAAATCGGTTCTGTCGTTTGGGAGATATATCCACGCATTTCAAGAGGGGACATGTATAATATAGAAATATAGGTAAATAAAGTTGATAGGTCGGTAAGTCGATTTAATTTCTTACCTCATAGTGTGTCATGTGGCTACTGATGTAGCTCACTCGCGACAGAGACTTGAGTGTCTATTCACTGATTAATTTTTTATAATATGCCATTTTTTCTTTTTTAACCAGCCAGTGCTAAACTGAAACAAAAAAGATACGTTATATTACATTTAGCATTATATTCGTTTTTAAAGCGGGATAATTTAACTGAAGATAATTATTGTTTACATAGATTTATCCGTACACAACAATTTCACAAACGGATATTAAATTATTATTATTATAAGTTAAATACTAAATACATAAATAAAATCCATTAACGCTAGTTATATCAGAATCTCAAAAACGTCAGTTGACTTCGTCTAATTAAAAATACGACTATAGATTAAAAGCATTGGTTTTATTTTACGTAATATGTAATATACAAAGCTTCATAAGACATTAGTGTATGTATTTCAAAACGATGAGAAAATTAAGCCTACAAATATTCATACAATTTATTTTATAATCCGTTATCTATTACAGGTTATAGGAAATTTAGTATATTATCAGTTCTTTAATGCTGCTATCGTAGCCCCTGATGCATTTCACATAATAAACATGTCGAATGGTAGCAGTCTTACTACGGATCAACGGAAAAATTTAGCTTCCATTGCCAAGATATTGCATTTTTCGGCGGCGAAAAAAGGGGTAAGGGGATTTTTATGTATCAAATATATCTTGAGAACTTAAAAAGAATTAAGAAATTACATTTTGTAGGGAATTTAACTGCACTAATTTCCTTTATTAATAAACAGTTTTTTCCATAATTTAATAAATTTTGATTTATGGTTATTAGTTTATCCCACTAACAGTCAACCTTGTCAATTAGATTGTCTTTATTCGCCTAGCCTAAAATCCTAAGATAAAAGGTATCCTGTGTCTTATAACATAATTCTCTGATAAAAAAATTGTCCAAAATACTAATTTTAAATATTAGTATAGACAAATGGCGGATTTTATTACTTTCAATATCATTCCAAAGTGACACGAGGCTGAAAATCTTAAATAAAATGATAGTATTATATAAATCTTAATCAAAATCGGGAATTACTTTTAATAAATTCAAAAATTTCTAGTTTGGTGAAGAATCAAGTCACCTCCGTTGCCTGAATCCGTTTATAGTGGATTGTCACGAGAAGATGAAGGAGCTGTTTCGACGATGCTGTCGTGGACCAACCCTGGAGGAATACTTCGCAGTTGACGAATACACCGAGGCTACGCTCATACACCAACCACATATTTATATTACTGTTCAGGTGAGGAAACCGCTCTTTCGTCTACCGTCTTCTTCATCTTATGATTTTTTTTGACATTATATGTTAGCATTGTCAAATGTGGTACGCTCAGGGTTTCTTTATCTTCTGATTTTTATGGGTAGTTAAATGCATATTCTTAATTTAGATGTCCTAAATCTTGTAGTTTGTTGTTAGCATTATATAAATTAGCTTTGTTAAATGTGGTACGCCTCTAAGCTCTAATAAGATGTTTGGAGCCGCCAATCCTGCACGAGATCTATACATTTTTGTATCTGTTTCCTTGATATTTATTTAAAGAAAGAAGATAAAGCCTTCTGTTTATAAACCGAAAACAATTATTGATACGCCGGGAATTGTATCTGGTATCTTCTGATTTTTATTTAGGCCTCGGAGGCAGTTGAAGAAACGAGTTAAGTTAGTTTTTACTAGTAATTATAGTAGATTTAATTTGCATTTTTTCAAGGTTTATGAGATGACTAAAATATAACGTACACGTGTAAAAACTCACGTAGACATACTGTAGGCGCAATTTCTTTTATAATTGGCACTAGACATGACAATATAATACTAGAAATAAGGGAAATTAGATTAGAGAATTATCATGAAATAAATTCAAAGCCCTCGAAACTTAAATCAATCAATAAAGCTTTTTATAATTTGACGAATACTTAAATGATGCTAATCCTTGGGATTGATTTGCTCCAGTTAAAATAATTTGTATTACTCAATACTTGGCGATTAAAAAGAGTGGCGGAAAGTTTCTTGCCAGTTCTTCTTACCCGCTCTACGCCCTTGACTTGCGAACTGGTAGTAAATTTACAATTAATTTAACTTCTTTTGACTTTCATAAGTGTACTTGTTTACCTATATGAATAAAGATAGTTTGAGTTTGACTAGATTCAATTCCATGTATAGATAAATCCGAATTACTTTTCTCCTTGTCATATATATTATTTGTTATATGTGTATTTGCTTTGACATTTGAAGACAATTTAAATGTTTAATACTTAATATACATTTAAATTAACAGGAAATAGTGGACACTCACGCCCTTTTAATAGAGTACCAAGATGTGATTGCGCCGGATCCTGATGATCGACTTAATATATTACTTGATGACTTGGGAGAAGTACCAAGTGTGGCACACCTTGCTTCTAGGGACCTAAATTCGGTAAGTTTTTACCACTTATTTACTTAACACAAAACAAGAAAAAATCGAAAGTTTTATTCATTTTCAAATTGTTTAAATTTTTAAGTAAAATTATCTACACGAGACCATCGTCAAACGGTATGCTAGTTATCACATAATTTTGTTTAAACATTTTATTACTAGCTGTGTCCCGCGTTAGTTTGATCGCAGCCAAAATATACATATATATAACCTCATCCTTTATATATAATTTTCCATGAAATGAACTACCAAACACAATTTCTAATTTTTCAATTCGAACTCTAAGTTCCTGAGGCCCGTTAACCAAACAAAGACACTTTTTCATATTAGAATAGATTTACAACAGCGGTCAGAGACAGAGGCGATTCCCCAGATTAGTTAGGTATTGCAGTTTAATTTTATGTCAAACGATTTTGATTCATTTTTCCATATTTTCTTGACGTTTACTTCAAAACTTCGCTCGCCTACTAATAACACAAGTCCATTTCTCAATTAACAACTTTGAAACATACGTATAATAATAATAACGCGCAAAACCGGGTATATATATCTTTTTAATTTTTCAGACGGCTGACACTGAAGAGAACGCTCGACTAGAAGTGTGTTTGGCTCTAGTTAATAAATTTCAAACGCCCGCTGACGATATGACGGATGTGAATAAGCTGTTTATCAAAACCAAAGAGCTTTGCGTCGCCATAATACCTTTCTTGGGTGGTAAGTAAAAATTATTAGTCTGTCTGATAATGAGTGAAAATTATCGAGTGGCACTTTAAATAAGCAGAACATAACAATCACAATGTTTCCAGGTGAACATCTTTTAGAAGCCATATGTATCGGAACTACAAAAGAACAACAAGAGAAATACAACGAGAAAGTACAAAGACGAATATATTCGGGCCAAGCGCGTGCCGATGAAGCGATGTCTTTAAGAGAACATATCGCTAAACTGAGACGCAATCTTCAAATGCTTGAAGATGAAGGCTATGTGACGAGGGAAGATGGTTATCAAGCCCTTATAACATCTATAGCTTTAGATCTTTGTAATAAAGGAAAGTATCGACAAGCGCAGAGGCGCGCTCTAGCGACACTAACCCGAACTAAACAAAGTCTATCAGAGAAGACAAAGTACTATGAGGAGAAATGCAAGTCTTATGATCAGTATATTAAGTCATGTCTTGCTAATCTTCATGCTGGGAAAAGGTACTTTTTGAAACATTATTTTATTTATATGATTTTATAATATATTTAGGTAGGAAATTGTATTAAAATTTGTTCAGCTCTTAAAGACTGAAAAATATACTCAATGATATTTTTAAACAATATGCTGCATGATTATTTTGATTTCTCAATAAGATTAACAAATTAACAAAAATGCATGTTATTTATTAATTACACAATAAATATTTTACTTCACCATTGGTTTTTAGGAGCGTTCACGCCTGTTTAAGATCCGGGAAAGATATAAAGAAATTGAAGTCGAAATTGACAGTGAAGTATTCCGGTGCAAAATTGTTAGAACGAGGTATACTTCTTGAAATAGATGGACTTTCGACGTCACAATTCAAAAACGTTCAATTTGAAATCGCACCTACTAATCATAATGGCGTATTTACGATTAGAGGAAAGTTCATGGGTGTCGAAATGGAATCTGTTGATATTGATATCCAGGATCTATTGCAAAAACAATATGAGGGTAGTGCGATAATGGACATGTTTGGAAAAGCAAAAATCAATGTTAACCTACTAATATTTTTATTGAACAGTAAATTTTATAAATGACTAAGAATAAAAATCATTTTGCTCAACTTATTTTTATGTATTTGAGGGTAGTATAATTCAAGCATGTGTGCTACACTACCCACACTTGTTGACCAATATAATCATTTATACAGTACTACTGGTGTGTAGTAGATGTTAGAACGTGTCCTTACGTGTGTTTGCGCTTTTATTCTTACAGCACACTGACGAATTTTACAAAAAGTAATAAGAATGTAAACGCAACGTTGCTTTCGATTGTGATGTAAACCTATCAAGTCGCGTATTGTACTATAGACGCTGTTCACCAATCACAATCGAATGGTACGCAGAATCGTTTCGTCATTCGTTTTATATTCTGACCCCCCTGCTCACCTGATGAGGTCATTGTTAATCTTGACGCCGGCAATTTATATTTGACACTTCAAGAATGCATGTTTTAACAGAATTCCAAAGACCTGAAGGATAATTGGACGTGTATGTTTTCTATGAATTAAATGACAAATGAAATTTTCGATGTGATAATTTTAATTCGATTTTATGTATTTTTAGATGTTAATTTACTTTCCGTAGCAAGCCTATTTTTAGGTATGATTTAAATACGTAATCTCGACCGTATTTATTGTAATAACTTTATTTAAATTATGCATTATTGTGATGTTGAACATAAATGTAACTATGTACCTTTTTACACCAAAATATTATTATCTACTAAAATTAGTTATTGTGTTTTTGTTATATGATGAAATATCATGATAAATTCTCTATTAATTCATCAAGCTTAATAATTGAATTTGTGTAAACTAATGTTTTTTTTTTATTTTTACAACTTTTGTCATTTTTAAAGTATAAATAATATTTTGTTTTAATTTTGTATTGGTTTAGTAATAACCACACATTTTTATACTTTTTTTTAATAAATGAGGCTAATATAAATTTGTTTTTTTCGAGGTTCTTAGTGCCGATAGGATATATATATATATATATAAGAGTTATATTCAATGAAACCGGATTTTTATATCTCACTTTAATCTTAAGCTATCCAAAGATATATAATATAAAGAAATATAACCAAAAAAACGTCATAAAACTAAGTTAACTAGTTAATTAATCATAGTAGGTATGAACCATTGTTATCTCATCCTCACCAAAATTATCAATTTCCCTGAGGCACTTGAACAACTAAATAAATTAGTTAGCTATATCATTAAACAACTCAAGGGTTTCAATTCAACTTAGCCTCTCTCTTTGCAAGTTGAACACCCACTGTAACTGAAAATCTACCTGTGGCCAATTTATTCTATGTAATCATAATATGATAACTATGTTTCTTTAGTTTTAATTTATTAATTTTACTTTGTACATTTTATCCTAAGCATTCTTTCTAAATATCTCCTAGTTTTAATTGTTAATTGATCTTTACTTTTATTTCGATTTTATAATAGCATCTCAATTCAATTGCATAAAATGCTGTATTGTTCTACCTCTGAACAATTTATTCTATGTAATCATAATATAATTTAGTTTTAATTTATTAATTTTATTTTGTACAATTATACTATGCATTGTCTCTAATTATCTCCCAGTTTTAATTGTCTAATTGTTCTTTACTTTTATTTTTATTTTGATTGTACAATAGCATCTTAACTCAATTGTATAAAATAGTGTATTGTTTTCGCTTTGGCCAATTTATTCCATGTAACTATGTTATAATCATGTTTTCTTTAGTTTTACTTTATAAATTTTACTATGTACAATTTATCCTAAGCATTCTTTCGAAATATTATCCTAGCTTTTAAGAATTCCTCCCTCTCCACAAAAAAGGGGTAAATAAATAATAAATACAAAAAAAAAAAAATACATAATGAAAATAACAGAGAGGGGATGACGTAAATAATTATAACGACCTTTATAACAACTCATATATGAACAACTAAATAAAACAATAAAAGCTATGAGAGAAGGCGTATTCCGAAAGCGCCACTCTCATGGCTTTCCCTGAAGAACTTAATTCAAAAAAAAAAAAAAAAAAAGAACCATTGTTATCTATGCACTTATATAGGTTGTTCATTGATCCCTTTACCAAAGAAAAACCATGTGGACGGGAATAACTAAAATCATTTTTTTGAAGATTATACTTTTTAGGCGCGTTATGAAAATTTGATGAGAGTGAAATTTTACGATGCGCGCGCACCTATGACACAAAATTCGGAGTGTGATTATAGCGTGCGCAATCTACAAAAGAAATAGAATATAAGCTAACTTCACGCATATTCTATTTCTTAGCTTAGCAGCTTAACAAGAATTTTGAATATCCATGACAATTGACATCTGACAATGACATTTACCTTTTAAACAAATATAGGAGTTTGAATTATTGTTTAAAATAAAAGATTCTAAAAGTACCTAGTTATTTTCATTATACAAGTGCGAATTTTATATGTGCGTCTGAATTATAATCAGAAATTGAATATCTAAATCAATACTAATTAATATGATAAAATATTTGTGAAAAAACTGTGCCAACCTTCCTGAGTGCTTCAATACAATTGAGGTTAACTATCCGTATGTATTATCGAGTATTATTGTTGATTAAAACTGAAACATGAACTTAATTAACTTTTTGTTTATTGCGTTTGTTACAGCAACTTTTTAGAAATATTCTACGACCCTATATATCAATAATTGAGAACAAAGATTTAAGCACGAATACTAATAAGGAGAAAATGAAGGCTTGGAGCGATATTACAGAGAAGTAAACATTTTAATAAGTACCTGCATCTCAAAAAAATGATTACATTATTTAATCAAAACATGTAATTTTTCAGATTTAATCTAGCAAATATAAGGACAAGAGACAAAAAACAATTTCAGTGGAAGTGCACTTAAATTGAATAAAAAAAAAGAGTTGTCATCTTATCGCCGTGAAACATCAAAAAACAAGAGGTGGAACAAAGCCACCATCACCTTCTCCAGACACAATGGATATGGCAGAGATGATACCGCAACGGTTTGAAGTAGATTTCAATGAATTTGATTGTGATGGTGTCGAGGTAGGAATGTTAATTATAAATATGATGGTGATGTTCAAGGCTCAACCTCTCAAGCATAGGCACATACTTTATTCCCCTACAGGGTAGTTAGAGATATTGTAATACCTCAAAACATCCATGTTGCTCTTGTAGTACCGAAACTCTGTCCAGCCAGAAGTGAGCCCATTCCCACTTATAATGGACAGTGGGTATAATACACCTTAATACCTGAGTGCTAACCACTCACCATGACACTTAAATTAATAGATGTTATTTATATATTTCAGGATATTACAAATAAAATCATTTTGGAAACAATTGCTATCCCAAAAGCAAATAAAGCCAACAATGACAAGGTAATAAATCAGTTTTGACATAACTTGAATACTAAAAAAAGCCAAACAAAGGTGTGCACAACAGTGACAACATAACTTAACAATTTCATTATTTTGTAGGATTAAAGAAAGGTTAAAGAAAATCATGTCGAACTGATCAACAAGAATCCCCAAACAACTCAAAAAGAAACCTACAAGGAAGACACCGGTATTATATTTAAATTATCTCTATCTCTAAATAGAATAAAAGAAAGTTGCTATCCAGGTCTGTAGCATGTGCTACAAATTATATTATTAACACATTTATATAATTATATTAATATAAATGTGTTAAAAATTTTATAATATGAATTATAAAAAATTTTTATTTTGTAAGAGAATAATTATAAATATTTATTTATTAAATTTTTCAAATGTAAACTGAACTTTATTGACTATAATGACTCCTTTTCCAGTCTTTGATTATTTAATTGTAATTAATTATTTGCATGCAATCAAAATCTATTTCTAATAATGCCAAAGAAGTATAACTTCTTACGCGCGTACATAAGTACACGCACCCTTTTTTTTTTTTTTTAATATTATGGCAATAGTTTTGACTTTATGCCCAATAAAATCTTTGAAGGCGGTTTCGACTGCCCCATTAGTTGAATTTTTGACCTTGCAAGAAGTTGACATTTAGTTCATCGAGTTAATGACACTGACGTCTGACACTTTGACCGACGTCAGCATATGCTAGACAAAAGGTTCTTCTTTCATATTATTTGTCATTTGTGTGAAAAATTCAAATTCTTTTACTTTTTTATTATATTTATGAGATTTTGTATTCTGTTTTGAAAGTAGTTATCAATGATAACTGATAACTAATCAAATTGATGTTGATACCACTTTAAGAGATTTTGGTTCACAGTTCACACTAAATACTAAAGTAAATAGTAAATACTATTCATATAATAATATGTATCCTGTATTATAGTATTAAGTAAAATTACTGCCGGGTTTAAACTTTAGTGGCTGAATGCTTTCAATTAGGTTTAAGATCGTAAATGAGTTTCACACGAAAAAATGCGAAGAGTTACTAAAAAGTTATTGAATTTAATTGTAGGCTTGGCATTGATTGGATTATATTGCGAATTTATTATATATTATATAGTTATCTCACAGGTATTATCTTCCATATGAAGTCTTACTACTCAAACTTTCATAAGCTTGTTAGATAATGGCAATGTAAATTATTACAGTGTAGTTGGCCAACGTTAACGAATACTAGAAATAAGGAAGTTCTTAAGGCATTCATATTAGCAGATACACATTTATTAGGGCCTTTCAGAGGGCACTGGCTAGATAAGCTAAGACGAGAATGGCAAATGCATCAGGCATTTCAAGCAGTTATTAAAATACATAAGCCTGATGTTGTATTCGTATTGGGTAAGTATTAACAATAGTCCCAAATTTTTAAGAATTATTACAATTCATTTAAAAGTAGTTTTTTACATTAACTTATATTTTAAATTTAATTTACAGGAGACCTGTTTGATGAAGGTGAATGGACTAATGACCAACAATTTAATGACTATGTCGATCGCTTCTATAGTCTCTTTGCATTACCAAAAGACATTAAAATGTATGTAGCAGTTGGAAACCATGATATTGGTTTTCATAATAGGTTGGTAACTGTTGTCTCTTCCACATTAGATTTTTTTAAACACATTGCTTAATAAAGACTGTTCAAGTAAAACATAATAAGTTATTTGCATCACTTCTCTGTGCTGCTCTATAGTCTGATGGCATTCCCTATAGCAATGTTTCATTTTATGCAATTTAATAATAAACACTATTAACAAGCAATGCAGGCTAAAATTTTTTAGTCAGTATGTTAGTAAAGTTTAACATTTTTGCTTTACATATACTGTACTGTATTAAAGTATGTGTCTTGAATTTTCATTATTAATTAAAGGATCAGAAGAAAGGCCTTACAAAGATTTACTGACCGTTTAAAATCTCCTTTGGTGCAACATGTGGTATTGAAAAATACTCACATTATTGTCATAAACTCTATGGCAATGGAGGGTGATTCCTGTAATATGTGTGCCGAAGCACAAAGACAGATATCACTTGTATCAGGTAGGTAGTATAAATATATACTGCAGATAAATGTAAGATGAGACATCACAAATTGTTTCTTTAAAACAGCTTTTGTTTGCTTCAAGCCATATTTAACCTTTGAAGAATGGGTATTATTATTAAAGCTTTATTAATTAATCCATACAATAAAATGTCTTACTATAAGTTTTAAAAAGTAATGTTAGCTTTGTTAGTGATTTAGTATTCATATTTGTATGGTTCCTTTTAGGGTAGAATGAACTGTTAAATGTTTCAGATAAACTTATGAAATGTTCCAAAAATGACGAAAATTGTGAAAATCACAGCTATAATTACTCCCAACCTATTCTTATGCAGGTAATATTATTTTTATATTTCCTTTATCTATGTTTACTCTTAACAAACATAACTTTAATAACTTTTTTGTTTCCTAGCACTTTCCACTTTACCGCAAATCTGATGCCATATGTACAGAACCAGATGCACCTCCTTTACCAGAACGAAATAAATTGTTTCGTTTAAAAATAGATGCCTTGTCAAAAGAAGCAACTGAGTACCTCATTAGTAAAATACAACCTAGAGCAGTATTTGGTGGTCACACACATCATGGATGTTTGGTGAAACATTCTTATAAAAATAATGAATTTTTGGAATATTCAGTACCTTCTTTCTCATGGAGGAACAGGCCTGATCCCAAGTTTATGTTGGTAAGTTTATTTTAACACAGCGTCTTTGCATTTCTTGTCTGTCATAATATCTTTGCACAAACCAGCATTTTGAATACAATCAAAATATTTCCTAGGACTTTGCACATTTTACAATATGCAATATAACAATGTATATTTTCATTATTATTATATTATCATCCATTTTTATGACCATTACAGGTTTCCATATCCCATGATGAGTATTCTGTTAATAAATGTGGTCTCCCAAAAGAAGCAACTATGATAAGTTCTGCTGTGATAATGTCATTGTTATTATTATTTTATGTATTTACTATAAGGAAAATAGGTGCATAATTTAAAGAATGTAATTAAATTTCATGTTATATTTTGGTAATAAATATGTTGACAAGATCAAGCACTTTTTACACTATACAATAATAATTAGGCAAATTGAGCCTTATACCTTCAACAGTCAAAGTTAAACTGATGTATCAGCACAGGTTAAAACAATGCTCCTAATAAATAAGTCTTATTTCTACTAAATAAGAGGTAGATGAAAAGTAGAAATGAGATTCCTATTACAAGAATACTGATATTGGTAATAAAATAAAATGTACCACTTCTTTAAAATGCTTTAAGTTAATAAGAGAAGGGTATTGTTTAAGTACACAAATAATGAAATATGTAGTTCTAACAAAAATATACAAATCTTACAAAGCACCTAACACTTACTTACTAAGTCAGTCTCTAACTCTTAAACGAGTCTTTACAAAATACATAATCTAATGAGCATTCTCAAATAGTGCAATATTTAGGTAGCTTTATATTATTATACAAATGTATAAAGAAAGAGATAATTTTGGAACAAACAGTTAAGGCACTTTTGCTAAATGCTCTAAAAATAAATACTTCAACTAAACACTACTAATGTAACTTTTAATAAATACGTAATACTTAGTTACACAACATTGATTACATACAAGCCGTTATAAATACAGACTATTCATGTCTATGGATAAAATAAATACTGATATATACCTAATAGTTATCTATAACCATATGGAATGCTGACTTACTCAGACATGCATAATTTGTATAGAATGTATATGTGCACTGCTGTGTTGTCTTGAAAATTTCCACCAATGTTTGGTATAAACTTACACATAAGTTGGTAACAACATTGTACGATTTACAAAAATTAAAGGACAATCCTTGACGGTTTGCCCTTAAATGAATTCTATAAAAATATTATCTGAAGAACTCTTGGCTTCTGCGATGGCGATGCAAGTTCATGCGATCGTGATCTAGGGTTAGGTGGATGTGATGCGCGACCATAGCGTGGAGTTCCATTCTGTTTCTGATGGTAGCCAGTGTGTGCATGTTTTGCAGAGGAGCATATAACAGCATGGAGATACCTATCATATCGGCATAAGTTAGAATCACCTCCACTAGCAAGATCCAAATAACCATTTGCTGAATTCTCTGTTTTTACTTTATGGTATAAATTGGGCTTCTCGTTTACTGTATGTGACCTATTTCGAATCCTATGATATTTACTTGACACTTCTTCGTTGGCCACAGGACTGCTGGGCTTTCTGTAAAGACATTATATTTTGGTTAGAAATAATTCAATTATGTACTAAAATTAGGATTCCTCATGGCCATTATTTGTATATCAGGGTTAGTTTAGACATTTAAAGCTTTATTATTAAGCTAATGAAAATCAAAACTTCAAAAAAGGATATTTTCATTTACACATTCACATTTCACAATTATTTTATTTTAGGCTCTTTCTTAATCACGTACAGACTGAGATGGTTTACTGACCATAGAAAAATATATCACTGATATAGTGCTAGGTATTTACAAATTAAATGGCGAGTGTAAAGTTATAATAAGTAAACTTAGTTACCTTGAAGCTTGAAAGCTCAGGTGATTTTTCTCCATATTAGCCTGAATGATCTCGAGTAATTCACGTCTTTGTAGACTACCGGATCTCTTTTTAGTGTATTTACGTTCCCGGTGTTCCTTTCGTGTATGACGATGCCTCTGGCGTAAAATTGGTGGCGGCCTCTGTGGGGGAGGCTTCCGATCTCCTGAACATGATGATTTCGATGACACATCATCGTCGTGAGATAATCTTTCATTTTGTTCCTTATCGCTATTATCAGCGTGAGCCGTGGCAGAATTTAACGCTTCTTGTTCCTTTCTCCGTCTCCTTCTAGCTTTTTCCCTTTGACTACGCGTCTGGCCATTTTCAGGTACAACAGTTAATCGTACTTGAATGGTTTTAGAACCATAATGCGGAACTGTGACCGACTTTCCTATAGATTCATAGATTGTTGACACTATTCCAGCTATATCCTGTAATAAACAATTTTATGTTAATTCGATTTTCAAATTGAATATAGACGTATTTATCATATTTACTCAAAATAAGAAGATGAAACTTACGTCTTTAGTCATTCGACCATGTCCATCAAGGTCGTATAGAGTAAACGAAAACTGTAAAGGTTGTTGTTTGGAAGATTCGGGATGCTGAAGCTCTACGTCACACGTCAACTCCTAAAAAAGTGTTATTATTAACAATGCGTTTACGCACTAGGTGGTCAATTATTTGGCTTAAGTATGATCATTAGTAGGTACGTTTAAAATGTAGATAACTACCGGCGCGGCGCCGAGAAACGACCGCATGTCGGCTGATGGGGACCGGCGGCCGGCGCCCTTATCTTTCACTTTTAAAGGAAACTAGTCGCGCCTTTACGATCTTTGATTATGAAACAAAGCGAGCCGCCTGGACGCAGATAGAACGTAAATAGATGATGCATCTTGCAAGAATGCTTTATAATGAGTGGTGATATCGATTGTTATTATACAAAAAATTAATGGTGCGTTAAGTTAGGTTATGGATGTAGCGTAAACGTTAATAATAAACTATTTTTATCATTCTTTTTAACAATTTAATTATGTATTAATTAAACAATCGTAGTTACCTCAAAACGTAATCTAGGTTTGTTATCGTTGTAGTCTGGAGTTTGTGCCGGCGTAGATGACTTTTTAGCGCAAGGTTCAGATGTTCGCTGAGGAATTGGTGGTGGGGTGGAAGGCTGAAGTAGTGCTCTAGCTTCACTTGGAAGCAAATCTGGTGGAGCTGAGCATTGGGAAGCCGCTCGTCCAACTAATTCTTCAGTATCTGTTCGCTCGCTCTCAGTACCAACTGAAACAATAAATTGTTTTTTTTTTTTAGAATAGCGCCATCATAATACATATCCGTAAATATTTTGCTTAACGAACAGCGATAGTACCATATAAGAAATAATAACTTGTAAAAATAATTGCAAAAATATAATTGTAAAAATTTATCAGAAAAACGGTCGGCGAAACATAAACGATTTTTACAAAGCGAGCGGGACGTGCTCCAAAGAGTGCAGGCACAGGGGCTCGCAGGGCGGGCTTAGTTATTTCCTGGAAGGCCTCGTGAGCCCGGATCGACGTCGGTCCAATGCCTTAATACCCGAGTTTGCCAACGAACATCTGCCACTGATTTTGTTTTTTCTTAAAATATGTGCGTATTTACTTAGATTGCAACATAAAGCACGAGTTATGCTACTATGAAATACTTATATCAATTTGAGCGTTTATTAATAAAATACTTTTACTGTACCTACTTGAATTATTTTTAGAAGTGTACAGATTTCAGATTCAGTTGAATTCAAAGTGTGCTGACGTTATCGTTATCCTTTTGTGTTTTATAAACTTAATTATTATAAAGTTCTAAAAATTATACGCGTTTAAATCTGGATAACATAATTCCTTTCTTAACACTATTGTATTTCTAAATATAATCTCAACGGATTAACAGCTAATGCTAGGAATTCAACTAGGTATGTAGGGGTGTTTGCGGATTTAATTTGGAATTAAAGAATCATTTATCAGTTAATCCTTCACTATCTGAGAAACTAGAAACAAAATCGTGTACCTTCTATCGTAAGCTGGACCATTAGTGGCGATTAGTAAAAGCTTTAAATGACCGCATTCCTAAACTGCCTTTACCTAAGCCAGTTGTGTAAGTGTCAGTTTTCTTTTTAAAATTTATTTATATTTTTAGTACTCGTATAAATTAAACAATGTATTTTAAACGATAGAGTCACTGTAATAAAATTTATAATTACACACTGAAGTACTCTTCTTTCATTGCTATGAATGAACAGCTTTATCAGGAGTTAAGTTTCTCGTGTAAACAGATATAGTATCTTGTTGGTGACTATTCAGTACATATTCGTTCAATTGTTCCAAGAGGGTTATCGTGTTCATTTACAAGCCATTTGATCTCTACCTGGCCTGGCCCTGATTTCTTAATTAGACCTGATATTAATGGCTTCCATCTCAGTCCACAACATTTAGTAATTACAACCATAAAGTTTTAAAAATATAAAAAACAGAATTATAAATGAAATAATACTACATTTTATACATTGTTTAAATTATACCACAACTGAAAGAAGCACTAATTAAGAATTAAAATGTTTGTACCAATTTTACTTGAAATTTACGCATATCATGAATGACTAATAAAGACGACAAATGAATAACGCTTTAACCATATTCATGCCCTCATTACGTCCATTACGAGGACAGAATGTTGAAGAACGCAGAATATTGAACCGTGTGATATAAACTATATATTGTAATTTGTTTTTGCCACTCATCTAGGTTTAGATATATATATAAGATTAAACTTTGTAGTCCTGTAGCGTCGTTATTGAAATATATCGACGTATCGATTTATAAATATAACATTGCCCATGGTATAAAAAATGATCAAAAGATTTTCGATTCTCCGTAGTAATACGGCCTCCGTAAACAGACAATAACCGCTTGCTAAGGGCATGTTAAAATTATGCAACAAAAGCCCAACATGTCTGAAAAAGCGCTTTGTGTCTGCCGCTTACTATAAATTGTAGCAAGTTATACATTTATACATAATATTCTAAAAGAAAAGTTTACAGCGTGTGGCGGGGAATTCTTTGATGTCAAATAAAAGGTATCATTGTCTCCGCTTCGGCGAGTGCTTTTAACTTTTCTCTTTGAAGTTAATCAAATGAGCGCTGGCTCGGTTTGAATTTGAAACTATATTACAAACCAAGGGTTTGACGTAGATTCGTTACGAAATAAAAAGTATCTTCTAATTGAAATAGGAACAAGATCAAAAGGATATCTGATCACTTTGATGTATTACGAATGTGCGTTTCGAGAGCGGAAGTTTCATTATTTTCATATTGGCTACTTAGTATTCAGTATTAGTTGGGTTTGAAGTTGTTTTTTAGTATTAGATCAAAGTGACTAAATAGCCTACATAATAGAGTTTAATCATGGTCGTTCCTGTAAGACGGAGGATAGCTAATGAATAATTTAAATGGATGATTCTAAATAACTCGTGTTGGTTTCATTGTTATCATATCATATCTAATTCTCACTTCCATAACAAGCTATAACATTACAATTACTTATTTAATCAATATTGATAGACTCGGGAGGTAGCACCCGAATTTCTATTTCATAAGCTCTTAGTAAATGAACGCTCCTCAAAAAACTATACAACTGTCATAATATTTTCGTCTTTCTAACGAACAATGCATCAGCTGATCTCGTACTGCACTCTCGTACGATATATGATCTTACAAATGAGATAATTTAAATTAATACTAACATTTTTAAAGGTATTAAAAAAAGGATAAGGTATTAGGATAAGCATTCATTTAAGATATTTACGATACACAACTATCTATGTTTATTGTTCTAGTTCTAGTGAAGATTTGTAGGTTTTCAGTTACTTTATTTAGATATCTCAAAAAGTACCCACTTAAATCATCATAAAGTTTAATAAAAATATATTTTATATAATAAAATTATATAAGCATATGAATAGGTACCACAATACCTAATAACAAGACACGAACGAAATGTACGACGGCCTTCCCGTTAAGGTAAGATAAACGACCTCAGCTCTTGAATGAACTTCACAAGTTCATACACTTGGGAATTTTTATAATGTATTGTTACTTACTGCTAAATTTCTTATATCCACTCCTAAACTTGTTGCGCCACCACTTGACGAAGTGGTGCGCCATGGGGGCGTCCGCCGCGGGTGCCGAAGCTCTCAACGTTTCGTAGCACGTCATGCGCTGCGCTCACGCACACATCACGTACACATCAAAAGCGCCGATGTTTTAATATAACACTAAATGCACAGCCACTACGATCATTCACAACACTAAGTAAATCGAATTGTCAACTCGTAAACAGACCTCGTGACCTAGTTGTACGCGTGAATGTCGGGCACTGTTAGCGAGAGCACAACCGCCTCTCACAATGTTTATTAAGTGACTGACTGATGGATGGAAGGGAAGGGGCAACCACGAAACAGCGCGGGCAGGCGCGGTGAGGTTCCGTAGTCCGTACCCGTGATTGTTCCTATTGTGCTTGGATGTTATACCTAGTGGTGGCTAGTGAGTAAAAACGATTTGCACTTGCCGGCTGTGATTTTATCGAATCAATTAAAGAATTCAGAATAATTTTAGAATTTTGATATGGTTTTTGTCACAACACAACCTATTGTATATAATATAAATCACATGTTTAGTAATACATATTTTAATTTCCAAAATTAGATCCATTATTTTTTTTAATGTATTTTTAGTAAATTTTCGAGAAAATTTATTTCTTTATAATTCTCTTTTTAATGTAGAAATGTTGGGATAGACTTATGAGGAAGCAAATCAATTACGATAACTCCTCAAGCAACTTGGAAATATACGTTAGGTTTTTATAGCTATTAGGCTAGCTGCAATTGTGCTTTAAAGTTATGGAATCTCTTTCTAGGCCAAAGAAAGCACAAGTATGTATAGGGCAGAATCAAGATAGAGGGGGCACATGAGCATAGGTCCGCTAGTCGTTGGCAGCCTCCGGTCGACGACCCAGGTACGACCATTATAAAAAAGATTAAATTGTATGAGATACAAATTTAAACTAAAGCATATGATAGGTACATAAATAGTAGTATTTTATACACGACTATCCAACCATTTAAAAAATTACTGGATGCTACTAATGGCGTACAGAGATATTTTATATTTAGAAGATAATTAAAAAAAAATACTATATAAGCGTGTCATAATTTGACTAAGTATGAATTAATGACACGCTTTAAAAATATCTTCAGAATATTATGTATATTTTTTAGAGGAAACTACAATTTATAGAAGTAGTTACATGACAAACTAATATACTAACGATACTTTTGATGTAATCAGTTGTGGTATTCAAAAACACATGTTACCAAAGTTTTAATAAATGTCGATTATTATATGTACCAAATCCGAATTTAATTGTAGAATTATTAGATAATTATACCAAAATATTTTGTTCGGCAACCAAATGAATCGGTAGCTCCGAAGTCATTAAGGCAAGACTAGCGGGGAACATTTTTGAAATATCTTAAAAAACGGTTAAAAGCGAGTATAGATTCAGGTAGCAGTTGCTTTATTTACATCGGAGTGAGAAAACAGTAAACACATTTACCTTTACAAATCTAAGTCCCCGGCTAATCGTTATGGTAAACAACTCCATGCTATACGCATACAAGAACAGAAAGTATAAAGAGCATTTACTAATTTGTAGGAAGTTACTTAATCTGATTAAAAGCTTTGCTTATCCGCTGCCGTTTACCTGCCTAATGTTTAAATAAAGCAAAGGTATTCGTTCTGGAATTGAGGCTTATCCACTATTAACAGTTAAGTTTTGGTAAATCCCATAGGTATGGTTGTAAAATGTGATGATAGGCGCCTCACACGACAGCGCAGTCGAGGCGGGAAACGAAAAGACGCCACGCTCGCTTTCAAATTAGAATTTTACGATCTCTTCGTGTTAGGTTTATTGTCGAGGATTTATCTGCGACCGAGATGAGGTCGTATTCCAAAAATGACTCACAACAAACATGCAGTTTAATTATGATTATACATAACTTAAAAAGTCAAACCATTTCCTAATTAAGTTTGGAATATATTTGACTCGCCATAACTGTTCTACAATGTAGGAACAATTTTCATACTTGATTACTAAACTTAATTGCATTAAATATGGCATTACAGATGATAAAGTGTAATAAGACATCAGAATTCCTTCTAATGGTAATTAGTTTTACAAAAGATATTTTGATGCAAAAATGTATACATGCTTGATAATATTTAAATGAATCACAAGAGGCTACCTACGTTGGCTAGGTAAGAAACGTTCTTTTTTAAGAATTCGGATCAACTTGGGTGGCATTCTTGAAGTTCGGGCGTTGAAGCTGCCAACTTGCGTTTATTGATAAACATCCGTGAATACTCAGTTTTCATAATCCATTATATCCATATTGCCTGTGAGTGTAATTGAATCTGTCATCTACATCTGTTGTTATCATTATTATGTGCGACCCTTCCTGTAAATTGTGAAATCGAATGCATCACAGTTTAGAATATTTACGAACATGTCTACTTGATGGTATATATTTTATATAGAATGCAATATTTTTCTACAAGTAAAGTAATATTTTACGCACTACTACAAATGTAACTTTGATTAATATAAAGCTACAAGTAAAGTAATATTTTACGCACTACTACAAATGTAACTTTGATTAATATAAGGCTATATAGATTCGATTGTGTATATAAAATTCTGTAGATATTATCCTCAGATACCTACCCTTGAAAATAATAAATTTTAGTGAGTCATACAAAATAATAAATGTAAGTAATAGAATATGTTTGTATCAATTAAAAACTTCGTATTGTTATTATAATCGTGTTAGTTTTTCTATAAAATGTGTAAAATGTGAGTGGGCATTGCCTACGCAGCAGAAGTAGAGCGACCGCAGCATCTGGCCCACGGCCAACTGAATAGCAGAAATAAAACGCTAAACTATCAACATTCCAGGCCAATTCATACGATTATCTTTTTATTTTGATATTTAATGTTAAATAATATGAATATTTAAATCCACTCACATAATTGGCACATAATCAACATGTCCAATAAATATGCAGTTACTCTAAACTAAATAGTTCGAGATATGTTCGCAATTCATACATTCATTTCACTATAACCACTTATACTAAAAATTGTATGAACGTAGGTACTATTAATGTTTATAAGAAAAATGTTCCACAATTATCATTAAATTCGTAAGGTGCGGTACTTCAAAGCTGTAATAATGTACGATTACGTCTCCCCTTAATCGTCTTAGGTACCCACTTCGCGGCGAGAATGTTTCGTTTTACATCAAAACCAGTTTCTTATGTATCGGTCTATCTCAAAAGTGATTCCGCTTTAATAACTTCCAAGTGATTATCTGTAACGTTATGATTTGAGATCCTGTAGTAACTAGTGATATGAAAAAGTCCTCATGTTTTCCTGTTATCAACAACTAGGATTGGTAATCGGATACATGTAAAATAATGCATTATGATGACATCAATTAAACAGTTTTTTAAAGGTATCGCCTTATGCCTGGACACGATTACATTGCAATTGGATATAGTACTGGTGTTAGTAGCAAGTATATCTTTTTAGGTAGACAGATGCGACCTACGAAAATACTGTATGATTCTACGCTACACTAGGAGCAATATAAAGTCGTTCTAAAATAATACATATTCTTTATGTCCACAGTCCAATGAACAGGATTTGCTTTTTAATCACAAATGATGAAGTTTATGGTGCATTAAATTATACGGGGGTTGATTTTGTTTCAAAGCTTTTCACATAGGGTTGCATCGTGTCGGCGAGTATCAAAGGGATTTAAATGATATCAATAGCTTTGTGCTACCGCGTCCCTTTGTCGGCATCGTTTTGGTTCCTTCTATAGGGCTACTTACTACTGTCTCCGTAGCGAATTACATGTGGCGGATAAGTTTAAAAGACGCTGTGCACGCAAACGTTAAACTAAGTAGGTTGAGTTGTTAGAGTGGATCAAATAAATCTAGGTAGGGGAGCGTGGGGCTAGTTGTAACAATTTTTACACATAATTGAATATCATGAAGTTTATTGGCTAAATTACTACTAAATAAACTTTGATTGATACTCTAACTATTTATCTATAAAGTCTAATCTAAATATGTATTATCAAATCTACAGGCAACTATCTCACAATTTTAATTTTTTTGAAAAAAGTGAAGTGTTACAACTTACCCCGTGGTTGGGGCTAGTTGTAACAACAAAAATGACACCTTCAATTGTTTAATTTTTTTCACATCTTGGATCATTTTGCTTTGTATATAACAAAAACTAACTAGGTATTTCTATAATGTGTTTTTTATGAAATAGTTAACTGGAAAAAAAATAAAATCAACAAATTAAAGATGTAAGATTTTAACTATCTTCCAATTCTGAATATGAACTTAGAATCCTTTTTTTCACCTTTTTTAACTTTTCCTTTCCCCTTTCACTTTTCTTTATCATCTTTTCTTCATATTCTACTCTCAAAGCTTCTTTTTCAGGCGTATCAGTCAGAAAGTAGACTTCCTTTTGCGTCTGCAATTTAATTTGTTTTTCGGGGCTTTCGTAATGGTCTAACTTTGATGGGAAAAATTTATTTTGACCAGAGCAACTTGGAGTTGGTTTGTTCGCAGTTTCAATGTGGGTATAATTTTTGTTGTGCTAATATCCACTTCAGGAGCAGAATCTAATATTCTGGAGTTTAAGATTAACGATAAATTCTCACTTTAATTTAGAACATCTGATTCAACAATCTGATTTTGTAGGTTGGCAATCAGTAACATAAAAGGGGCAAAGTCACTATCTTGGAATTAATTGGACAAAATTAGAAATATCAACATTCAAAGGCCAATACCAGAACTTTAAATCCACTGATAATATTTGCAAGGTTTAAGGCAAGTGATAATGACTCCTTCTACACTTGGGATGTCATAAATTGTACTTTTTCCTGGATTATTATAATCCAAGTAGTGCTTTAGTAGTTTTTAAAAGGGCCGTAGACTCCTACATCATAGGTTGAAAATTGTGGAGAATGGGAGGGAAACTATAACATGATAACATTTTTTCTTTGGCTTTTTGACAACTGGATATTCAATGTGAGCAATGATTATGAGCAGTAAAGAACTGGCTTTTCTTGGTAGTT